CCTCACGGCTTCCCTCTCCGTGCAGCGGTTGCGCACTCAACCCCACGATGGACCAGACACCATTCTAGTCCCTAGAACTACATCTGGGGAAAAGACAGAGGTCCTGGCTTACTTTAAAAGTCGCTGGAACAGGGCCGGGGGTGTAGCGCAGTGGATCCGCCGCCTGCCTCGCAAGCGCAAGGACCCGAGTTTATTCGACTGGCGTAAATTAACAAGGTAACACATGTTACAGTGCCAAATGGTGACAAGTGCTATAAATAGCAATAAAAAAAATCAAGGTTAGGGCACAGGGATCTGGGAGGGATTATTTTAAATAAGACTGACAAAAATAAAGACGAGCAGTCGAACAGTCCACATCTCCATCCCCCCAAAGGTCTTTCAGGTAAGTGATCCAAAACCTCAAATATATATATGAACATTCTCTTACAGACTTAAAATAGGAAAGCTCTTCAAGATCTGTAAGTGTTGGTTTTGAACTTCATCACACTGAAAAGCAGCCAGGACTCATTGAAGGAGTGGCTGATCCAGGCTTGAGACAGGATACAACAAGGAGACCCTGGGATGGATTCGATCCTAGAAAACACAGGGCACTCAGAGACTAACATCCAGTCACGTCCTCTTTAATGGGTCATGCAGACAGGACACAGGGCTCCCAGTGGTAAACCTATTTAAGCACCAAGGGTAACAACTGTGACTGATATTGGAAGTGCACTCCTGCTGTCTTAGCACAGTGGGAGGCTGAGGCAGAAGGGTTACAAGCTTGAGCCCAGCCAGGGAAATCCCTTGATTTAGTGAGACCCTGTCTCAAAAAGAGAGGAAGTGAGTGGGAGGTAAGGCTCGAGATGTAGCTCAGTGCAAAGGGCTCAATCTCCAGTACTGAAAACAATTACAGTCATAAAAAGTCATGAGTTTGTAGTGATATTTAAGAAAAATAAAGATTCGAGGTTCAGTTTTATAGAAGAATGCCAATAGAGGGTAGACAGAAGTGAAAGAGGCATCATTTTGCAAGCTGTGATGTAACACTGAGTCCTATGAGCATCATCTCCTGTATTGATTTCTTGCTGCTGGTGTGTGAAGCTACCGTAAGCTCCGTGCACGCCACAAGTGGGCTTACTGCTTGCGGTTCTGAGACCAGAACGGGCTTTGTGCTGTGTGCTGCTGCTCCTTCCAGAGGCTCTGGGGCAAAGCCACACCTTGCCTTTTCCCTGGCCTCAGCATTCTCCACAGTCCTCGACCTCATGGCCCCACAGCACTCTGCCCTCTGCTTTCGTCATCTGGCTCTTTCCCTCTGGGTCTGAGCTGCCCACCTGTCCATACTGAGGATGCTCATGACCACTCTGGGCTGCCTAAACAATCTGGACAACTCATGGCAAGAGCTTATGTGCTCGTTTTGCCCCAGAAGGCAATGTACTCAGCAGCTGCAGGGATGGGGATGTGGCTGTCCTGGGGAGGGTGTGGGCACCAGCTAGCCCCGCATAGCTTGGAAAGATGGCCTGGGCAGAGCAGGAGTGTCTGCAAGGTATCGACCACCACCCCACAGGTTAGTTATCACCTTGAAGGGGTGCCCTCACCACCACCCAGACAGCGGGACCCTGAGACAGTGTGCCAGCTCGAGTTACCTGAGGTACACAGGTCATCTACAAGATACTCTTGCCAAAAAAATTTAAACCCTCATCTAATCAAGCTCTAGACCTAACTTCCAGCTTACAGGACTGCTGCCACAGTAAACAAACAAGCACATCAGGACATGGGTCATGCTGGAGGTCTACTCCACGAGATGCCTCAAAAGGCTACGTCACAGACAAGGATGGAGGTATTCTAGGCTCTCAAAAAGGGCTAAAGGGACACAATAACCAAGTGTGGTATGTGAACTTTGAATGGATCTTGATTTAAAGTCATTTTAAAGACAACTGAGGGAATTTTAATGTAACTTTAATATTAGATGATATTATGGAATAATTGATGGTTTTCTTATGGCTATACAGGATAATGTCCTTATTTGGGAACACGTGTTGAGATATTTAAAAGTATGTGATGAGACTCTATGGAGTCAAGCCAAGCATGATCAAGAGCTGTGAGGCGAATAATTCCCAGAAATCCTCTACTTCCAGGAATTTATCTGAGTTCTTTCTGGCCAGCGTAGTCTTGTCCTGCTTGACCCTTGGGGCATCTAGTAGATCCCATAAATGCTATTGCTGAATAAGAGGACTAGTCTCTACAGAGAAAAAGTTACTCTAGACAGACCGTAATAAAGTTTAACAAAAACCTGAAAAGGATCAAATTGAACATGTGACCCTCGTCAATGCAACATGAAGTAAAATATAGCCAAGCCAAACCCTGCCCAAATTTCCAAACTCCCTTGAGTAAAATAAATGATTGTTGTTTTAAGCTACTAAATTTTGGGTTTGTTATGCGGCAGTCCATACCTGGGACAATCTTGTACACGTGAGACATCGGTACATGAGCTAGTGCCCTAAGGACTTCTAGTTACCAAGCAGGCATTTAGGGTTTCATTTCAAGACATGAAGTGCATCGACCCATGTGGCCATGGCGGCCATGGAGGCTCACGTGAGTCCGTCTCCTCTGGTGGAAGTGGTTCCATGCCGGCTGCTGCAGCCTTGTCAGCTGTATTCTAGTTCTCTTTGGTGGTGTCCTTGCTTCCTCTCAAGGGCATCTATCCGACAGATCTCGTACCTCTCTGCACAGGCCTGGTGTTGATCATGACCTGGTAATCAGAATGGATTAAGAAGGCCTGGCAGATTAGCAAAGCACAGGGGGGGGTGCGCCTGACTGGCACGGAGGCCTGCACACAGGGGAAGCCCCACCTGGATGTGGGTGGCACCACCCAACAGGCTGCAGCCTGGACAGAAGAGAGGAAGGAAGGCAGGGTGCCGGATGTTGAACAGCTCCTGGCTGGCCAGCCTTTGCACCCTGGTCTCCAGTTTGCCAACACTGTTTCCGGGCCTCCACCCTTGCCCTGTGGCTGCACCATTGATCTCACTGGATCTGCAGCAGTGACTGTATTCCTGGCTCTCCAGCAGGCAGATGGCTCTGTGGATCCTGCAGAGATCACTGTGGACACTGCACCTCTGATCCTGCAAGCCGACCCGATCAGACCCCTGGCTTAACTGTGCATATATTTTCTATTGATTCTGCTCCTTCAGAAAACCTAATACAGACTGACTGCTTTTACTGAGAAAACACAGATACCATGCAGGACTAACGCTCCTGCCCTGCCTTGCTGAGGTGCACCTGGTGAGTGAAAATCCACCCTGATTCTACGTCACACCTCCCCATCCATTAAAAATCTTCAAATTGGAGACATCTTAAAACTGAGGCCAGGCTGGGTATGGACACCTGTAATCTCAGCACTTGGGAGGCAGAGGCAGGAGGGTCACTGTGAATTCGAAGCCAGCCTAGGTTACATAGTGAGTTCAAAGCCAGCCTGAATTACACAGGGAGATCCTGTCTCAAAAAACAAACAGAGGCCATGGTAATTGTTGGCTGTATTTTTACTTTTAGTAATATTGCCTTATTTCTTACACAATTCATCTAAGATTAGGTGAAACTACATGAAAATTAAAGATTAGATGGAATACAGATTTTCTTATACTTTATAAAAATAATCATTTCATCTTATTTTTCTGCAACTTTTCTTGCAAAACATTTTCTTGCTCTGAAATTTTGGCCTCCTTATAGGCCCTCACATGGCAAGTGACATGTATGGGTGTGTGTCTACCTGGCTAATTAGAAAGCCACTAGGATTCACTCCTGGGGGCCCTGCCTCAGGTGATTAGGTAACACTGTGGTGTCCTTCATGGTTCGTGCTTTCTGTATCCTAGGGGATTTCACCTATGTCAAGGTAGTGAAGAAGTTCTAGAACTTCTAGGTTTTACGTTTTCTAGTTTTAGTTTTTAAGTCTATGAGCCACTCTTCAGTCTGAATTTTGTGCTAAACCTATGTATGGTGAGACAAGAGTTGTGGTTCACTTTTCATGTGAACCTGTAATTTGTTAAATATCTTTTCTTCATTGAATTTCTTTGGCTCCACTGTCAAAAATCAACTGTCTGTGTACGCATGAGTCCATTTCTGAACTCCACTGTTGTCAGTCCATAATGGTTCTTATGAAGAATGTCTACTGGTGGTAAATTCTCACATATTTTCTCTTTGAAAAAAAATCTCACCTTCATTCTTGAAGAATCCTTTTGCTAAAGGGAGAATTCTCAACCGACAGTTTTTCTTTCAGCACTTAAAAGTTACCATACCAACATCTCTCACTTGCAGTTTGAGAAAAGAAATACATTGCCACTTTTTTTTTTAGACAGGGTCTCACTATGCAGTTCGGGCTGGTTTCGAACAATCTTGAGTGCTGGGATTACAGGCTTGCGCCACCATGCCTAGCTTTGTAGCCACTTTGGTCCTGGATCTTTTCTATGGAGTCTTGTCTGTCTGCTCCAGGTGCTTTTACAATTTTGTTGACTTTCAATAATTTCAGTATAATGTACCTTGATGAATTTTAAAAATTGTGTTACCTTACTTGAATTTCTTGGATTTGTGGGTTTAGTTTTCATCAACAAGGAAAAATTTCAGCCCGTTTTGCTTAGCATTTTTGTCTCCCTACTCCAACCTCTAGGACTCCAAATACAAGTATGTTAGGACAAATGGTATTTCCCACAGGCGGCTGAGACAGTGTTTTTCCTCTTGTACTTCTGTATGCCTCAAAAGCCCTAAGAGCTTTCATTCTGCAGAGGCAGGTCTGCTGGAACCTCCCTGCTCTTCAGCCAGCTAGTGACTGAAAGTACTGAATAGTACAGTGATTTTTAAAAATAAGTATTACACATTCTTGGATTAATGGTATAAGTGTGTTGGCCACAATAAAATCTTTAGGAATTGTTAATTTAGAGATATGCAAGTAGTTCAGTATCTCTTTAGGTCTATAAAATTAATTTGTATGTATACAGACAGAATATTGGAAATAATACTAAATATGACACCAATGATTTAGTGTTACTGAGGTTTTTTTTTTACTTTTAAAGGAGGTGCTAGCAATCTGGAAAATGCTTTATTGTATCATTCCAACATACCGCAAGGGATATTTCAAACTAATACAAAAGTAATCCACAGACTTGATTTAGTGAAGATCACATGATCCAAAATGTTTCTTCCTTAGCATTTCACAGCAATTGGTAAAAGTCCATATGCTGATTTTTCCAAGAAAGATTATTCTAGTAACTTTGAGTGTTCGATCCGTGCAATCGTCCAGTCAGGCTCTACTCCTTGTGTAAATTCTCTCTGAAATCTAGAAAAAAACCCATGGATAATGTGAATCTCACATCAGCCCAGTGGTTCTTGGCTAAATCAAAATCCAAAAAAGTTTAATCTACTATACAATCAAAAAAATATACCTCCCCAAACTGAAGTACATTCTCAACTGAGTTGTGCTTTATTTGTGTTTTTTGATTTTGGCAGTGCTAGGGATTGAACAAGGGCCTTGCCACACTAAGCAAGTGCTCTGCCTCTCTGTTCCCAGCCCCTTCCGGATTCCTATCAGGCTGATCTACATTCTAAACGAAACTTGGATATAACGCTGCTATAAAACACTAGCTACACATGTGCCTAATAATAAACTGTACTCTGATGATCCAAACAGGATTTTAAGTATAAAATACAGCATACAGAAAAAGCTCTTTTTCAGTAATGCTAAAGTTACCAATTTAGTAACAAGTAGTAGATTTGGTTTAGACTTGAACTCAGTAACACCAGTCTATTTGAGCCTGCCGTGGTCTTAGAAAGGGGTATCTGCTAAGACAAAGTTCAGTATTGATAATAATCTTTAATATAAAGATGTGTTTAAAGACAGACAATCAATAGATTTAAAAAGGTATTTAAATAAGTAAATTATCTTGAATAATTACACAAATAGCAATTAAAAAAAAGTTTTCTTTGGAGAAGTGAAAAAATGTGGATATAATTTTCTTGTACCTTAGTGAAACAGAATTCATTTTCTTTCCTGGGTTATTTTTGGCATGTTATATTAAGGCAAATTTCTGTAACTTTGGCAACATCATATAGTATTCCCTCTTAACTACTAAATTATGTTTCCACTGACTTGTTCACTGTTCCAAATTTTATTAAAACAACAGTGTAGTATGTCTTATGAATAACTTGCTAGCTTCCCAGCAGAAGTGCTCCTAAGTGCTGTAACCCTAAGTACTGCATCTGAAGCCTACGGAGTGCTTGGCCACATAGGAAATGCCCAGGTGCCAAGTGCTGCAGCCCAATCTCCCAGCCCACGTGCTCTTCTGAAATGGGGCCGTGCTGTTTGTTGGCCCATAAAGTAGTGGGTCTCTTCAGTTTTCTTTTTCTGGTATTCCAGGCTGGCCTTGAACTCACAACAATCCTCCTGCCTCAGCCTCTCCAATGTCAAGATCACAGGCCTGCACCACTATCCTGGCAGGAGTGGGTCTCTTCACACATATAGATGGTGCAGGTCCTCTGACTGCAAACAATGAGGCTTTAATTCTCGGCGTAACCCTTTACAGCTCTAGCAGTTTCCATTTCCTGCATCTTGGGATCCAATCACCAAGTAAAAGACCTGACTAGTCTGAAGCTACCATGAGCCTGAGTCACCCAGGGCTGTTATGGAGAAGCCACAGAGCACCAGGGCCCACACCGGCAGGGAGAAGCCACTGCGGAAACGGCCCCTCCTGCCCCGGTGTGGCAGGGAAAAGCCCACGGCCGAGCCTCCGCACGGTCCCTGTGCAGCCAAGTCACAGCAGGGTAAACGGCTGCTGAAGTGACCACTTGTCGGGTGGTGGGGATGCAGCACCAGCGAGCTGAACCTGTTTGATGAAACTCAGCAATATTACCTCTTTCTAATTTCTTAACACTCCTGTTTCATATCCAGTGTGTCATAAATAACGTCAAATTTCCATCCTTTTCTTCCTAAAGCTCCCTTTAGCTTTCACACCTTCTTCCATTTTCTAGAGGAGGAAACAGTGAAGTACATTACACTTACTCATAACTTGCACTAAGAAGCTGCTTAGTTTCCACATTCTGATCCCCCAGCTTAACCTGGAACATACTGGCTCCACGCACAGCCTCGCTGGGGACGCTGGCACTGGTTAGATACCAAAAGCACATCAGGATGTTAACAAACTTCCTTCCTTAGAGAAAAAACACATACACACAAACACAAATCACAGTGATCCATCATGTACATATCCAGGCTGAAGCTAGAAATTTGCTGTAGTAATATCGCTGTTACAGATCAAACCCTGTACATATTCTAGTGCACCTTAAGATACCTGTTCTGATACATTTTTATTTTTAGAAAGTTTTCCTAGGGTTTATTACATACCTTACTTTCTTCTCTGTACCTTAGTAATAAGCTTTTAGTTAGTAAGCACACACTTTACCAAGTGTACTATATGGATTATTCTCAATTTACACCATTTTCTAAAATTATAATAATCTTAAGACAAGTATCCATTGTTATGACAAAAATGTGGGGAAAAAGCCAGTTTTTGCTGGCAAGTAATGAACCCCACTGCCTGAAAGCAGAAAGGTTTCTAGTCCATCCTAATTTGCTCTGCTATGCTTAGCAATTAGTAACCATGGTAGCGAGGAAGATTTGAAATATTAGGGGAGAAGGAAATACATGAAACAATACATTTACACGTTTCAAATTAACGTGTATAAAACTTTTCCAACCGTAAGAGTCCTCTAGCATCACTGCCTTGGGAAATGTGGCCATCAAACTCGACTGTCAACTTGACCAGATATTGAAGCCCACTCCCAGCTGTGTCTGGGTGGTTCAGAGGAGGGACCTTGGGTGCTGCACAGATCTTGTCCTTCACCTCGCCTCTCACTGTGCCTCCTCTGCTTCCCAGCAGCCAGAAACTAAGCAGCTCAGATCCAGCACACCCTGTGGCCATGCTTTTGTCTGGGAGCCAGCAGACCTGGACTGGATCCCTGAAGTTAAACTTCTCCTTCTTTAAGTTGTAGGTGTCAGGTACTGTGTCCAGCAAAGGGGAGCTGACACTCTCCTGCATCATGCAGGCGTGACACATGCATTATGTAAGCATAGGCTAGATTTCCTATGTGCCTGGCACATAATGTGTATGGAAGCTGTGTATAAGGAATCCATCAATTTATCAATGAACTTTTCAGGAATGCTATGGGGAAAATGTACACATTGCACAAGAAAAAACCCAGATAACCACTAAAGTTCTTTCTAATTTTTTTGATTATCCCCCAATCCAATCTGGGAATTCTACAGTTAATCTTTTCTCATTTCAGTCTGTAGCTGATACTTTCTCTTACTCTTTACTCCTTCCATAGAATATTTACAATGCTCAACTGTCTCCTTCAAGTCAGGAAATGTGAAACATAAACATTTTCGATTTGAGACATAGGAACAGCTTGTCCTAAACACACTATTTTCATCAACATGATGATCTTCTCTCCTGTGTGTCGAACAGTAGTAAACAGAGGATCTAAACATAAGGAACTACGCCACGTCTCCAGTCTTAGACATGAATCTGTCTTTTTCTTTGAGGCTCTACAAATGTCTGTCAGGGCAGACAGAATCCACTGTTCAGCTAAATTGGACGGCTCTCGTCACTCAGCAGCTGACCGTGCTCAGTGGTACCTTTCTCATCATAGTAAATGGAGATGTCCCCTGTTGACGTGTAGACGATATCACCTATGTCAGCAGCAAGAGCATTTCTGTGGTTATCCGGCAGTGATGTAACCTTTCTTTTCAATACAGGTAGCACCTAAGTTTGGAAAAGGCAAACTGTTAGGTCACCAACTCAGCTTCTGAAAGTATTACAAATAATGATCTTTATCATGGAATGAATTTTTCTAAACCTAGTTTTAAATTTACTACGCTATCTCCTTACCCTCAAAGGCAAGGCTGAAAGGCATTTTATTTATTCATCTAGATAATTCCTAATAGAACATTCTATATAAGAGCACCTGAAGGGCCGAGGATTTAGCTCAGTGGTTCTGCCGCCTGCCTCGCAAGCGGAAGGACCTGAGTTCAAACCCCGGTACTAAAAAAAAAAAAAAACAGATCACCTGAAAGATACAATGTTTACTTACATGTGCCTGAAATAGCTGGACTCATTCCAGCTTGGACATAGCATAAAGTATGCAAGCAGGCTCTATTTAAGCCACTGGCACATACACACTATTTTTAAGCAAAACTCAGAATGCGTACCATTCTATTGAAAGAAAGCTGTATATTTATTTTGAAAGAAGAAAGTATTCTTTAAGTCAAGAATGGTGGTGCATGCCTGTAACCTCATCTCCTTGGGAAGCTGAGGAGGATGATCGCAAAATCTAGGCCAGCCTAGACCACTTAGGGAAATTCTGTCTCAAAATAAAAAATCCTGAAACCTAGCTCAGTGGTAGAGTGCTTGCCTAGTATGCACAAGGCCCTGGACTCACTCTCTAGTACAGGGAGAAAAAAAAAGTATACTTTTACCTCTTTGGACACAAGTTCTTCCAACAGATCAAATTTACACTGTGATAGCAATCTGGATACATGAGAAAAAGCCTTGAAAAAAATAGGAAGGAAACAATTATTTCAAAATATCATACAATATTTATACTTAAATGGCTAAAAGTAACAAAAACTATTTTAGAGAAAAGGTGATAAATAATGTCAAATATTAATGTGTTGATGTTAGCTGAGATTCCTTTGATGTTAGCTGACATTTCTTAGATGGTCTCTCCACATATAGAGTACTGCTAATTATGTATCTACTCTAGGAAATACAATACAATGTTAATACTTGAATAGCTAAGTGTAACAAAGACTATTTTAGACTAAAGGTGATAATGCCAACTACTAATACATTAATGTTAGCTAAGACTCCTTTGAAGTTAGCTGACAATTCTGAGATGGTCTCTCCACATACAGGGTATTGCTAATTATGTATCTATTCTAGGAATCTGGGACATGAGAGTGTGGTGTACACAGTAGATGCTTCAATAAAAAATACTTACATATATTCTTTTAAAATAAAGATAAACCATTTGACTGTTCTATGACCCACCTCTTAAGTACAGACAACAGTTAAGAAGTAGGAGACTATCTAGACCAGCTGTGGTGGACCTATGGCATCTGTGTTGCAGCATGATGTTTGGATCACTGGAAGCTCTGAAAAGTTCACCATCACTGGCCTAGGCTGAACTGGGAGTCTGGATTGCAGTATGCACCTCATTAAAAGATAAGGTACGTTTGAGAAAGTGGGAAAAAGAGAAGTTTATAGTTTAAAATAAGGGATCCCCACTTTGAAGTGTGAGGTCCAATTTTAAAGGGGCGGAGGCACTGGGATTTTATACATTCTTAGCAATGAGAAATGACCTGTAAATTATGACTCTTATCTTTCAGGAGCTTTCTACTAGGGGAAGAAGATAAGTTTGCTGACAAATTCAAGAATCAAGACAGCATTAAGAACAAGAAGATGATTTGGGAGCGTGCAGAAGATCTATACCTATTCTGGGAGGGTCAGAGAGGTTCCTAAAGAAAGGAACATTTAACCTGAAATCCAAAGAACTGGCAGAAGAAAGGAGATGCACAGTCAGAGGACACTGCATACCCGCTATGGGCTGAGTTGTGCCCCACCCCTGTCAAAGCCCTAGTTTCCGGTGTCTGGGAGTGTGGCTGGAGATGGGGCTCTAAAGAAACAATTAAGTTAGATTGAGCTAATTATGGAGGTCGCTAATCCAATCTGACTGGAGTCCTTGTAAGACAGGGAAATGTGGACATACACAGAGATGCAAGGACATGAAAAAATGCAGAGTAAAGACCATGGAAGGACATGGCAAGAAAACATCACCTGTAAGACAAAGAGAGAGGCCTCAGGAGAAAGCAACCCTTTTGATACCTTGCTGTTGAAATCCCATTGTTTAAACCAGCCCATCTGTGCAGCTCTGCTAAAACAGTCCTAGTAAACTTACACAATAATGAAGCTGAATTTGAGAAGATGCAGACACCCAAGAGGACTCAAACACTCTTTGCAAACACTTTAGAGGATCTCAGGGTTTGGAGATACTGTATGTCTTGGGAAGCTTTCTTGTGGAAGATGGATAATAATTTAGGCAAAAGAAATGACCACAACTATCTCGTGTAAACCCAACCTGCATTTGTGTGGCCAAGAAGTCACGCCTGCAAAGCACTTGAGGCCGCCCGAGGGGTTCAGAGCCTGCCTTGAGAAGCCCTAAAGAGAGAGTCTAACCTCCAGCAGAGGTTTCCAGGAAAAAGCCTGCCTTTGCACAGGAAAAGTTAAAATGTACAAGGCCTGAAGAAAACAGGAATTTGGGGGCTACAGTGGGGAACAATACCATATCAAATGCATGGATCAACTGCAAGCAGGGTCTGTGGGGCCACCTATTCCTACTCACGTGACAGAAGCTCGTCTAGACACCATGTGACTGTCTGTCTCTAGTGACTCTGGAGGACTAAGATGGCTCACAGTCTCAGGACAGCTACTCTCTGGCCATGCACCCTTGATCAGTCATTTCACCTTTCTGGAGCTTAGTTCTGTCACTTGTTTTTCAAATTTCATTAGTGCATGTTTGTAGTACATAATGTTTACATTCTTTGTGTGGAGCTGGTGCATGGACATAATGCATCTTAATTTCTTTTTTCACCCCCTCATCCCTTTCCCTTCTGAGAAAGACCTACCTTCTTGCTTCCTATTATCTTTCATTCTGCTGTTTATACTTTGGATTTCTCATATAGAGAAACCATGTGATATTTAAGCTTGTGTGTCTGATTTATTTCACTTAACATTATGGTCCAAGGTGAATCCACTTTCCTACAAATACCTCAAGTTTATCCTTCTTTATGTCAGAGTATTACTCCATTATATGTAAATACCATATTTTCTTTAACCATTCATCTATATAGATGCCTCCAAGGTTTAGCTATTATGAGTTGTGCTGCTATGGGTATGCATGCATCACTGTAATATTACATTTGACCCAGCTATTTCCCTTCTAGGGAAAATTTAAAAACTTTAAAAAGTTAAAATTTCATCAACTGCAAAAGAAGGTTAGACTAGAAAATATTTATATTACATGATTAAAATAAAAATCCTAATGAGTATTGTCTAACCCAGTGGTGGCGAACCTATGGCATGCATGCTACTGTGTTTTCCTTTAAGGACAAAAGATGTTAATGTATGAGTTGTTTCCTAAATTAAAACCTCAGTATTCAGGTTTAATTGCAATATTGGCACTTTGCAATAAGTAAGTGGTTTTAGGTTGCAGATTGGCAGTTGGTCATTAAAAGGTTCACTCTCACTAGTCTAACTGATATTCACAAGACAGTATCTTACTTCTGGGAGATTAGCCCAAGGACAAAGGGAGACTGGTGCTCTGCTGATCTCCACCAGATTATTCCCAAGCCCTAGAACTATACCCACAAAATGGAAGGTATAATTGCACTGTGATATGGAGAGATTTTTGGCTGTGTCTTTTTATAAAAACGTAAGTATTGTGTAGGTGTTGAAGAACTGATATGTTTGATCGAAGGGTAAATTCAGGAACCATAGGTTTAAGGGAATCACTAAATATGTACTACAGCTGACCCATTCTTTTAGAAAGTCAGAATGGTTAACTGAACCAATATAAAGCAAAAATTCATACAGATTGAATAATGAAGGAGGGAAGCTAAAACAGCTAACAGGATCAGAAAGTGACCCAAAAAGTCCTTCAACTCCTCTGGTGTTAAGAGAAAACAGACCTACAGCCTGATTCCTGAAGCTTATGGTGGACAGATGATTTCCATTCCTTACTGACACAAAAATGAGTTGACAGTCATATTTGTATGTGTTATCAAGTAGACACACTCTTGTGTCATCAGCTGGGACCTCGGAGAACAGCGGATCACACCAAATGACTGCTGCATGGGCATCTGACATGAGCAGAGGTTTACCCCTCCATCGTGCTGCTGAATTTGGCATGTCCACCAAGTGTGCTCTTGGATTTTTTACTTTAAAATAAAGAGCTGACTCAGAAAAGAGTTAATACTGACAAAGGTCACATAAAATTAGAAAACAATTTATAGGTAACAGGTCACATCAATAAATATAAATGGCTGTGGTTACTGAAATAAATAAATCAGGAGTAGAAATACAGATACCAGCACACAGTCAATACCATAAAATGATTACACTGATGATTTAGGTTTGATAATACACTGATGATAAGGTTTATATTGATATTAACTGTGAAATAAACAATTTCTATTTTTTATCAATACTTCTGCAATGTTTGGGAGTGAACTCTCTTAAGAGAATCAAAAGGAAGGCTTAATCCAGGTGTGGGAGCTGACACCTGTAATCCTAACACTCTGGTAGACTGAAACTGAAGGATTGCATACTCCAGCCCACCCTGAGGAATTTAGCAAGACCCAGTGTCAAAAAAAAAAGTAAAAAGGGTTGGGGATGTAGCTCATTATGAAGGCCCTGGGTTCAATCCACATGAAAAAAAGAGAAAAAGATAGGTTATATGGCCTTTTACCCTAGAAAAATACGTGTACACACAAAATCTGCAAATGATCTCAAGATTCAAAGTGACTATCATGTGAATAAGACAAAACATTACTAGCCATTCAGAAAGCCATAACTGACAAAGCTGGGGCAGAGAAACACCCCAGGCTAAGTATTCTGTGTGCCGGGTACTCTGTCCTTACTATCAGTGTACAGTATCCCAGCACTCTTCAGAAGGGTAGAACTGCTCATCTCTAGACTACCCTTCAAGCAGAGGGGTGGAGCTCTGTCAAACAGCTGGCTGGGAGTTCTGCCTTTCTACCAGAGATGCCATGACAGTACTTTGGAAGTGTTACCTCATTCCTCACCATAATCTTGTCTCCTCAATTTATTCAACACACATTCACGGAGTGCCCACTATGAGCCATGTATTGCCGTCTCCATTTTACAGATTTGGAAAAATCACAGCCAGAGAAAGGCCGAACAGCTTCTATGAGGCAGAAATGGGCTTTGAATCCATTTCTATTTGAAATGGGAAAACAAAACACACACACACACTCACAAACCCGAGGGACTTAGCAAACACACCCGGAAGCTCATTTCACGTGGCTTGGAGGAGTCGGTGTCTGGGCCACTACCGAGATTTGACAGCCCAAGGTCCAGGGACAAACGCTTCCGCGTTACAGCTGAGAGCGGGACAGGGACCCCCCACCTGCTTGGCCGCCTCGGAGAACTCAGTGATGCTGAACTCGCGGTCGAAGTAGGCCCAGACGAGGAAGGCGAGCACGCGAGTGCGCACCCAGGTGACTGGGTTGGAGAACCCCAGGACGATCATCCTGGTCCCCGGGCGTTGCCCCTCGGTGCTGTAGCCGCGCCGGGGACCCGAGGGGCAGGCGGCGAGGGCTGCGGGGACCCCCGGGGCGAGCCAAGGCCCCGGGCGGCGGGGACACAGCGCCGCTCCCGAGCCGAGGCGGCGGCGGCATGAGCAGCAGAGTCCGGCCCACTGCGGCCTTGCCGCAGCTCCCCGAGGGGTCCGGAGCCGAGCTGCCCCACCGGGCAGCGACCAGGCGAGGAGGGAACGAGGGAACAGACGAGCTGCTAGCGCCATGTTGGTGACCTTTCACTCCCACTGCTTGTGCAGCAACGAAAGAAAGCCGGAAGGAAACAACGTCAGCGGCGTCGGAGAAAGGGACTGGAGAGTCAGGCTGGCCGGCTGATGCCGCCTCTGGTGAGCCCGCCTGTCCGGCTGTCCAGCATCCGGTCCATCAGAGGCCGGTCGGTTGTGCGCCGCGCTCCCAGGATCAGCACATCTACCCCGGGGTGGCCGCCGCCTTCGCGGACCTTTTCTCTCCTTTTCATGTTTCTGAGCCGAGCACGCGCAGACGGACACATTGTGCCGGAAGTTCCAAGGCCTCTGAAGAAGGATGGCAGGGGAAAACGTCCCGGTACCTCGGCTTCAGGGCGTCTCTGCAGAGGGCTTTAGGCAGCACCTCTACCCACAGGTGGGAAGCGAGGAAAGACTCATGGGAGCCCTAACGGCGACTCCGAACGGGGTTCTTTCGACCCAGGGTGGGGGAAAAGCTCAAGCGGCGGACCTGGCTCCTGAGGACCGCGGGGAGCTGGGTTCGAGAAGCGAGGGCCGCCTTGCAGTTACTGTGGCCCTCGAGCCTGTCTTCTGCCGGGTCTCCTCAAGTTTAGGGCAGGATTCCAGGCTGTCTTGGTGAAATCAGCACTTGTCCCTGTACTGAAAAATTAATAGGTCGGGAAGCACAGCTTTTCATTCCACCGAAACAACAGGAAAGCAGCAGGAATCTCCCAGGAATCTTACAGCGGTCCTGGGTTTTAACTAACTTGGATTTTAGTTGAGGCGTTGGAATCCCTTGGTTCTTCAAAAGAAAATTCACAGAAAAATACTGAGGGCCCCGTGTTTTTTTTACTTGCAATACTTTGCAGGGGAATCCAGACTTAACAGAGCAAGGAGTCTAGCAGGTAAAGAAAAAGACCCCTAACAGTTACAGTTAAGTCTGTTTAAGGTAGGAGGAGAAACCCAAAACAAAATTAAAAAACACTCAGGAGTTTTCTTCCTTGATAGTTACATCTGTAAGGGTGTTTATAGAACTACAGTTCTGAGGTTTACAAGTCAGATGAAGTTTTTTCTTTCGGTAGTAATAGTCTGCATGAGAGGATTCAGACCTTCGTTTGTCTCAGGGGCTGGTGTGATGCTCTCCCTCTCCCACTCCCCCATCTTAGGCTGTGTTAGGCCTATGATCCCGGCAGGGCAGTGTTGTGAAGATTGAATGATGTAAGATGTGTAGCAAAATATATTTTGTATCTTAATCATCCCAGACAAGAGTAGTATGTTACAAAAGATGCATCATTAAGTTTCATAAAGTAGAAAGTTATAAAACCTGTGGTTATAGTGCATTACAACTAGAAGTTAATTACAGCCAGGGATTTAGCTCAGTGGTTCTGCTGCCTGCCTAGAAGTTAACTACAGAATTGAAAGGAGATCTTTCTACCTGGAAACACCAAAGTGAAAAATATGAGGAAGCACAGTCCTATCAGGTTTTTAAAAACATATACTAATAGTTGTATAATTAACACTTGCATATGGTACAGGTGCGTGAATGGACAGACCAGTGAAGTCCAGAAATACCTCTTTCCAAGTATGTGTCTAGATATACACATTCAGAAATAAATTCTTATTCATATAGAAATTTACCACATAATGCACATAGCATTCCACAAATCACTGGGGCAAAAATTAACTTTTTAATGGATTGTATTAGAGCAGTTTTAGCTTCACAGCAGCTAAACTGAGCAGAAGGTACAGAGATTTCTCATCTAGTCCCACTCTCAGACCTGTGGAGCCTCTTCTGTTATCAGCGTGCTCCACCAGAGTGGTACGGTTACTGGAGCTGATGAACCTACGTTGACAGTCACTTTCACCCCAGCTGTGTGGCTCAGTGTTCACTCTTGGTGTTGTAGGTTCTGTGGGTTTAGACAAATTCATGGCACATTTCCACTATTACAGCATTATACAGAGTAGTTTCACTGCTCTGACAGTGCTAGGATAACTGAATAGTCATTTAGAATATAGTAAAATTAGATTTATATCTCATACTATATGCAAGAAGGAAGTCCAAGTGGATCAGAAAAATGTGAAGAAATGAAAGTACTATAAAAAAATGAGTAAATTCTAAACTCCAGCTCTATAAGTGGCCTTCCTAACCATGACTCCAAATTTGAATGTACTTTAAAGTGTTTTACTTTTTAAAGTAGTAATAATTTAAAACATAAGGATGAAGAAGGATTTTGTTTTAAAAACCGTAAAGTAGAAAATAAAAAGTGACAAATGAACCTAACAGGGAGGATGAGAAGTAATGTAGGTCACTTTTTAAAAAAATATATAAACAGTACTTTATCTTTAGTCTAGAATAAAAAGAAATGAAAACTGAGTTCTGGTTAGTAAACTTGTTTTTTGATAATAGTATGACCTAACAATTCTTAAAGTACTTTCTGTAAATCAAGGATTTTGCAAATGTGTAGATGATGATGGGAATTGAGTTTCTCACTGTTGGAATAGAGTTACAAGTATATAAACAATAAAGACTAGGGTTAACCTTGAAATATGCATGATTTGTGCACATATGCATTAGGAATGTGTATGTGTATAATACATACATGGAGAGAGAAACGTATATGGTGTGAGGGTTTGTGTTCAGGGGTACACACACAACCTCATGATTTTTAGCTTGGACCACTGAGAAGGAAGAAGTATTGATGCTGCATTAAACATTTTGCATTTAAAAGAAACCAGAGCTACTGGAAGATATGACTGATTGACTGCAAGGCTAGCAGAGAAAGTATAAAAGGATGCCAGAGTGTGGTACTTGGCTGTAAAGTAATGTTCAGGTTAAAAAGTTAACAATTATTAGCTTGAAAGGAACCTACTAGCCAAATTGGGGATAATTTGAGCATCAAAATTACATCAATAGATTATTACCCATGGAGTAAAATAAGTAAATGGAGAAGTTAGAACTCATTTATTTTTGCATTAGGATGCCAACTAATGTAGAAAAATGATGTAGATTTAAAAAATCACTTTGTTACACTCATTTTAATGGTACTTGATTCAGGCAGCAATTGCCAGTTGACCAAAGTTAATATCACAAATACTAGGGCAAAATATCAAGTGCCCTGTGATGTGGTGCCCTGGGAGGGCCACAGCATTCATTCTGTGGGACACGCCTGCAACCCTAATGCATAAGCTGACTAATCATGAAAAGATTGCACGCAAATCCATGTCAGAGAGCATTCAGCAACATAACTGGCCTGCACACTTCAGAAATATCAAGGTCATGGAAGACAAAGGCTGGGTACTGTTCCAGAAGAAAAGAGGAAAAAGAGGGCAACTGGTGTAATTTGGCATCTCAGACAAAGTTCTGGGCCAGAAATAGAAATAACTCTAAAGGAAATTATTGGGGCAGTTAGTGAAATCTGAATCTGGACTGTGGATTCAACAATAGTGTTATGTCGTGTGAAATATAATTTTGATAATTCATGGTTATGTAAGAGAATGTCTGTTGTTAGGAAATCTCTAAGCTTTTACAGATAAAAGGCATGATGTCAGCTATTTAACCTTAAAATGATTCAGCAAAAAATAAGTTAGGTTTAATAATCACTCAGAGTGAGAGCAAACAATAAATTAAATGGGATATAATATTAACAGTTGGTGAGTCAAGGCAAAGGGTATATGCAAGTGCAAATTCTTTGTGATCTTTTTTTTTTTCTCCCAATACTGGATGCTCAAGCCAGGGCTTTCACACAGCTGCATCCATAGTCCTTTTAAACATTTTTAAGTTTGAGAAAGGCCTCACTAAATTGCCCAAGCTGGTATCACACTCATAATCCTCTTGCCTCAGCTTCCCCAAATTCTGAGATTCCAGGTGCTTGCAACATTTTTAGAAGTTTGAAATGGAATCAAAATAAAAAGTTACCAAAAATTTGACTGTAGAGTACAAACTGTAAGCATTTATATTTTCATCATAAAAACATGGAAATATTGTATGTTACATTTGGGTCTGTCTTCTTGTCTGCTGCTGCTGCTGCTGCTGTTTTCCTGATCTTAACCTTTTGTCCCGGGTATAGCATGTGGGTCCTCTTCTCATTGTAGTGACAGCATTAACTGCCAGAGCTTTGAGTTTAAGCATCTCAGGATCAAGAATCAGAGCCAAACACCTTTTTACCAAATACAGTTACTGCTGTGTTCTTGATTTTCACAGATGTTTTTGTTGGTTTTTTTCCCTTACAGAGAAAGCCTCTTGTGTTGAAAGGACTTGATCTGGGCCCATGTACAAGCAAGTGGACAGTGAATTACCTAAGCCACATCGGCGGGACCAGAGAAGTGAAGATTCACGTGGCCAGAGTAGCACAGATGGACTTCATTAGTAAGAACTTTGTATATAGGTATTTTCTTCTGAGGTTTATTCTGGGATGCAAATAAGTTTTTAAAAACATTTAATATGTTTTTCTATTATTATACAAAGACCATATGGCGTTTTGTCTTTCACTAGTTTGATGTAATCTTACTGGTAAAGAGTGGTTCTAAAAAGGCAAGAATTCTGAGTTCACATAATGATATAAAGACATGTCTAAAGACTTTTAAAAATACGGTGTATACCCAAGACCTTTAGGGGAGGACTTCTATAAATAGAGTTAGTTATGCCTACAGTTGGATCTACTGTATTCATTCAGTGCTTGATTAATATATCCTACCACATTAGTAACTTAACTAGCACAGGAAGTTTTTTAAAAGGCTCATGTTTTCTGTGCTCTCCAGAAATAGAAGACAAAGTATGTTTGGTATAATCTTTCATCAACTTGTGTAAATATTTTTAAAATCATGTTTAATTTTCTTTTTTGATGAAATAATCTTAAATACCTTTAATTTCACTCAGGGTTGTCATTTTATGCTACAGAATCTCTTAAAAGTAAATAAGAAATGGTCAGAAGCTACTGAATGTCTAAACTTGGAAGCTTTAAATGTTACCTTGTAGATTTTATATACCGTGTCTTCCTATGAGAGTCATAAAAACTGGAGAACTCTGTAGTTTTTAGTAAGTGTAGTTCCCATTAAATTAAATCATTGAAAACCATGTAGTTTGCAAAAGACTTGAGGTCAGAGGTGAGCTACACAAAGTTTCCAATGTCCAGGGACATTCCTTTCTCATTAGATGTTTCCAGGTTCACATAGCAGCTGCCAAAGCATTTCTCAATTCTCAGGGTTTTTTGAATAGTCACCATTAATAGTTTTGGTTTCAATAGGCTATGAATTGAATTTAATTGCTGTAAGTTCTTTCAAGAGTAAGAACTTTTCACTTTTTATTAAGTCATGAAAGTGGAAGAAAGTACTGGAATGAATAGTGTTTTTCAGCCGCAATTAATGATGTTTATTTTCTAGCATCTAATGCCATATTAAATGGGCATTGAAACTTCATCTTGAAGTGCTTTGATGTTTTGTCATGCCTGTTAAACTTTACAAAACTTATTTTGGAAGCACATGCACTATGTGCTATCCCAGCTTTCTCACAGCCTTCCAGTAGAATTACTAAATTACAAGATTATTGTTTAGTGCAAAAAAAAGAAGTAAGTTAGTTCTTTCGGCTTTTACCAGGCAGGAGGAAAGAGAGGAGATATGTAGGCCAAAGACACACTGGAAAGGAGGGAATCCTACAGATATCTGTGTCGTTGATTTTACTTTTCTCCTTTATCAAACATATGGAGCCCGATGCACTAACAAGTGTTAGCTTTTACACTATTCCGTCCAGAGTCAGGATACTGTTGACAGAAGAACCTTGTGCAGTGAAATGAAAGGATGTTCTTGCTGTCTTCTGACTATAGGGTTAGTTTTTTAAAAAGTACTGTAAATCCCTCCTGAGCCTTGGTTAGGTGCTCTTACCTAACGTATTGTGTAATTCTCATCAATTTGCTCTTACTGTGTACTTTCATCAATGCTGGTCTTGACTTTGCAAAAGAGCCTTTCCAAAGTGGGCACCTGGACCCTCGAGGGTTTTTTTCCCTTTTTAAAAAAATACTGATGACTCCCTGTATGGTGCTGAAGGGTGTGTTGTGGTCATGGCTAACCCAGCATCGTTACTGAACATCTCATGTGTGTCAGATGTGTGACAAGCATTCTGGGCTGCACTTCTCATTTAAACTAGAAAACAGTCTGGGAGGTAGGTATTGTTTACAGCGATTGCAAAGAGAAGAAACTTACTCAAGAACACATAGGGATAAAGCGATAGGAGCCAGGATGTGTGCTCAGATTCAGACTCCGCATCTCCCCTCCCAGACCCTGCCTCCACTGTGTGTCTGTGTGCTTGTCCCTCAAATGGTGCTTCAGCAGCAGGAGACCTTTTGCTTGCTGCATGAGATAGGTAAAGCCCCAGCTGAGGGGTCCCCAAGGGCGGGCGTTAGCAGCACCCTACTTTGCTTCTTTGGTCAGCTACTTTACTGCTCTTGCAGCCTTACTGTTCTGCCTCGAGTTTCTCAAGGTCTTGAAATACTTCTGTGTTCTTGCTGCTAAGAAAACTCAGCCTGGGCAACCATACCAGTTACGTGGCCTAGATGAGCTCCCTGTCTGCTTTTCAAAGATGTTTTGGTAGCAGTGAGAGGTAGGTGCGTGCCGAGGCCTGAGATGGAGAACATCGAGTAGGGGCCACCGAGTAAACTTGCTGATCTTGCCGATCAGAAACTAGAGTGGGAGTATTTGCATTGGTCTGAGTAGACGGCAGACTCCTTTTCTCTGCTCAGGACTCACTCACACAATGACCAGGACAATAGTAGTCCACGTTCACACTCATGGGACCCACCTGCCCCTAACTGGGCTCACATTCACTTAGCTTTGCAGAAGAGTGCCAGGCAGGAAGCAGCACTCTAGCAGGACAATAGCCTCAGGAGTCCATGGAAACAAGGGCCATTTTTTTTGGCTCACCAGTGACAACTTAGTTTAAGAGAACAAGGCAGTAGAGGTGGTATTGAAATATCTAGCGAGGTAAGTGTTCCCCAGAAACCCTGAAAGTGGCCCGAGAACAGGGTTTCTCCATACTCAATTATGAATTACTGTACATTGCTCTCTGCTTCCTAACAAGTTTGTTTAGTTCATTCCCAGGTCTTCTAGTGCACACATAGCTCACCAGTCAAGGGTCACTTATATAGCAAACACCATAGCTGCCATTTCATGTTCTAGGAAATCAGTGCCAGGGCAGAGTGAGCCAACCCAGCGTCATCTTCTCCTAGCAAAGGAGAGTTTCCTAACTGCTTGTCTCCATCTCCCTAGTACAGATTTCGAGTGAGAAGATATTTGGAAATGACATTGGAAAGACTATAATCTTAGATGAGAGGTTTGGCAGCAGGCATGCAGTGGGGAGCAGAGGGCAGGATTTTGAGGACCCCATTGTCTTGTTACTGATACAGTGTCATATTCATACCAGGCAATACTTTCAGTCTGAGAAGGTTGAAGAGATAGGATAGGACCTAGAAAAAATGTAGCCCTGTCATCTCAAGAGTATGACGTACAGGAAATGAACTCTGCTTCCAAAATATCCAGTCTTGTTCTCCAGGATGGAAGTGTGTAAGTCAGTTTATCCTTGCTCTGTCTAAATATCTGAGAAAAAGGAGAAGAGATTTGCATGGGCTCATGGTTTTCAGAGGTTTCAGTCTGTGATGGACTGGCTTCGTTACTTTAGACCTGAGCAGAACATCATGGTAGAACAAAGCTGCTCACCTCACAGCCAGGAAGCAGAGAGCAAGCGTGAGAACCCCAGAGGAAGGGCCCCAGATACTGTCCCCAAGGTCACACCCCATGACCCCCTTCTTTCAGCAAGGCCCCACTTTCTAACAGCCCATTGAGCTGCAGACTTGCATAGCACCCTCAAAGTCTGGTGGCTTCCCCAAAGCCCATTGGCTTTGGCTTTCCAAACCTAGGCTATGGGGAAGAAAGTTTGAAGGATGAAAACTGGTGACTTCCCTGGAATTCTCCTTGAGCCACTTCTCAGAAGCCTTAAAATGACACAAGGTGGTAGCAAAGGGTAAAAGTGGTGTTTCTGGCTTCTGTGTTTGGAGATTGTGCTGAAAAGCAAGAGGGTCTGCATTAGACCCTTGGCCTAACATCTCTTCCAGAGCAGCACTAGCAGTTTGTCCATTCGTCATCACAGCCCGAGAGCTTGAGTCTTTGCAAAGGTAATCAGAACCATAAAAGCATTTTTCTATCAGTAAGCTGGAATAGAAGGATATTGACTTATAAGAATTATGTGTACTATAGACTTAAAAATCCCTAATTCTAAAGTTTCAAATAACAGATCAAATAGACATACTGCCAAATGAATTTTGAATATTTAGAATTCTACAGAATAGGTCACGATAAAAACTGGATACTGTAAAATAGAAGATTGAAGCCTATATGTACAGTGATCTTATTAAATGTGTTTATTCTAGAACTTTACCTTTTAACAAGTTGGTCCAGAGGGCGGCTGAAGAAAAGCATGAGGAATTCTTTCTTTCAGAGGTAATTGCTATACCATGTCTTAGGAAGCGTTGCTGTCTATATACTAAAGGGTTTTCTGCTGCCAGAGTGGGCATTGTGAGCCTGACTGCCTGAGCCACAGACAACTCTGCTGCTCTCAAAGTGTTCAGCTCTGACTGTTACTCTGCTGTGCTGAAGCAGACTCGCCTGTAAGACAGAGGCCATAACATGCCGCACTTCACCGGGCTCCTGAAAATTAACAGAGGAGTCTGTAAATGCTCAGCAGTGTGCCTGACCCATGGAGATGACTCATTAAATGTTAGCTGTTATGAGCACTTCCCTGAAAGTGCTGTGGTCTAATGTGCGAAGCTCAAAGCTAACAGAGAACTCTATTTTCATGTCTTACGCATTTGACTACTTCCATGTTTTTTTCTTATCAAATGGTTTCTTTTGTATTTGCTGTAAAAGATTACATCAAAATAATTCTTATTTACATTATAGTGCAGCTTTAAGTAATTCAGCCTACATATCTTGAGATAAGGCATCAGGATTATACATGTTCTTAAAAACTCACTGTGTTATCAAAAAGCACATTTAAAAAATAAGGTACTTTTTAGCTCCCCATGGTGGTGCTCACCTATAAGTCTAGCGATCAGGAGGCTGAAGCAGGAGGATCACAAATTGGAGACTGGCCTGGGCTACACAGCAAGTTTAGGGCCAGCCTAGACTAATAGCAAGACCCTGTTTCAAAAATCCAAATGAGAAAAAGGATGAACACCTTGTTAGGCTTTGGGTAAAGCTGTTGCCTGTGCCTGAGCTGCCAGGCCTGGACTGTTTGGTTGATAAGGTGCTGTGTTTTTACAGTTTTCTCCCCAGGATTGGTTCTGCTAGATCAGCCAGGATCCCGCAGACTCTGTCCTGTGCTGGGAATGTCTTTGAAAACTGGTTCTGTTAGCTGGACCTGAGAACCAGCTAACTTCATAGCCTTGCCTTGGCCTTGCATATTCAGTCACCCTTCAGCACTTCCTGTCTGAGGGGCCTGAGCAGCACACAGTTAAGTAGCCATGAAATGGGAGGTAAAGGAAGTAGGGACAGGAGGAAGGATTAAGTCTAAACTTACGGAAAGGGTGCTGTGAACAAGATGCACAGGGAAGGTCCACTTGGGTCTCCCGATGCCAGGCCGCTGAAGTTGGATGTGTGGGAGGGCACTGCTGTGAAAGGCCAGGGAAGAGGCAGTGTGGGTGGAGTGAGAAGCCCTCCGCTCCCCTAGACTCCTGCACGAGACCGCCTGTCAGGAGTCCTTCACTGGCTGACAGGGACTGGGCTCCTCATCCACACCGGCCTTGGTCAGAGTTGCCTCAGCAAAGGTGCTGCCTTGGTTCATGTGCTGCCGTGCACTGGAAGAAGTTAATCCCATTCCTTTGAGCTGAGCACTGGGTTTTTGGAGGAGGATCTCTGTCTGCTGCATGGATTTAAATTTTTGATCTTAAATGCCAGCTCTGTAGAAAACCCTTGGAATTCTGAAGAACATACTTCAGCCAGTAACAGATTTATAGAACTTGTCTAATATGGCAGCAAAACAAACAGTGAAGCTGAGAGTTCAGTTAAATTCATGATCATAGAGTTTGATTGTGTCTTTGGGCAAATAAGATTACAGTTTGAAATCTGTGTCACAACAGTCCTTACTCATTTCAGAGGGTGGAATTCTTGAGTTGGATTGCCCTTGCTCAGACCTGGCAGAGCTCAGGTCTGTTCTCATGGGAAAGGCAGGCAACAGTGAATGCTTTTTATTGTTTTTGCAGTGTTGGGGATCAAACCCAGGTCCCTGTGCATGCCAGGCAAGTACTCTGCAACTGAGCTACATCTCAGCCCTCAAGTGAGTGCTTCTGTAGCTCAGACAGTTCTCCATTTAGCTTCTCAGTGAAGTATAAATGATAACTTTGGAAGTATCTCTGTAAGTTTACTGCTATGAAATGAAACTTCTGATTCTTTCATGAGCTGACTCTTAAGGATTTGGCTTGCGATTTACATTGGCCGGCCTGATAAAATGCAGTGTTCCAAACGTTTCGATGGGTAGAAATACAAGATATTTATCTCTTATTATATGTTTGTGTTGTAGTAATAAGTCTGATGTTGGCCTTCAACAGGTTTTTTGCAATCACTTCTCCTGTACAGATGGAAGCCTTTTACTAAGCGTTAAGACACTGTTAAAAGAGGCTAGCTGTAGTGATGTAGGATAAAGTCTGAAGCAGTGCGGATTCAGGTGTGCTGCCTACAGCACAGTTACTTTGTGCCCCCAGTCACTGTTAGGAGCAGTGTGTGAAGACATTTCTCCATGTGGCCAGCAGAGAGCATCAGTAGAAAGGGGAAGATATTTGAGCATTTTAGAAAATGACTTCACTGGGTCAGATTTTAAGGCTTATTTCCTTTTTTCTTTACTTCCAAATATTTTAAAGTGAATGTTGACATTATTTTTCTTTGGGATGTTTTAAGGATGAAAAATACTACTTACGGTCACTTGGAGAAGACCCTAGAAAGGTAAGAATTGTGTATTTAAAATAATTGCTTAAGACATAGGTGGATGTTAGCTGGTACTGTAACTTTTATATTTACAGAGTGATACATAACATGTCTTACTGTGTTCTTTTCTCAATGATTTGTGCCCCTAATAAGATCAGTAACCACCGTTTGGTTCTCAGATAGGACCATAGAATCTTAGTGTTCAAAGTAATGTAATTTCTACACCGTAAGAAATCTCATCAATTGTATATTTATAGATGCCCTTTCAACTTAATGAAATATTAATCCAAAATAATTATGAAAATCCTGATCATTGTACAATCTTAATTACATAGTCAGAATTATATAAATACAGCTTTAGTAGAGTACATGACAGTTATGTAAGTTTTGCTTAGAGTAGCAAAAACTTTCCATAAATGAAGTCTGTTGAGCTTAACAGCAGTGATACTGTTGAATCTGCAGTCTTATTGCAGGGTTTGTTATTCTTTCACCTGAAAGATCAGTGTTTGCAGGTGGTCACAGCGTAGTGCTTTAGAGCACTGAACAGTTTTGCCCCTTTCTTCTTAATAGCCTGTAGGTTGTTGGCAGTTTTAGATAAAGTAAGCATTATGCTAATATTGTGTTTATTATTAAAATTCTTTGCAGATATTTTTCTCTAATTATCTTTATGTTTCTGTCTAGGATGTTGCAGATATCAGAAAGCAGTTTCCTTTGTTAGAAGGAGATATTAAGTTTCCAAAATTCTTTGAGGAGGAGCAATTCTTCTCCAGTGTCTTCCGAATTAGCTCACCTGGATTACAGCTTTGGACTCACTATGATGTATGCCATATTAGTGAGAACTCTGCAGCTATGGTGGATCTTTATAGATTAACATTCAGCAGCTCCTCCTACAGGCTACCTTAGAAATCTTGACAGTGCAGCTCTCAGAGGTGTTGGGTTTGAGCAGAGGCCCTGGCTGTGGAAGACAGCGATGCAGGGCTGAGCTCCTCAGCTGACGGCATAGCCTTGTTTCTCATGCTGTGTGTCTCTGTGGCCTTAATTCCTCACCATCTATGTCTCATGAAGTGGGTTGGGTTTTGTTTTGTTTGTTTAGGGTATAGAACAAGGCCACTAGGTAAGGGAGAAGTGTTAAAGTGATAGCTTGGGGTGCGAGAAAACGTAAATGGCACTCATACCTCTGGCTGCCCAGCATGGTGCTGTTCAAGAGAAAAGCAGAGCCTGTAGAGAACTGTTTCCAAATCTAAGAATCTGGAGGAATCTGAAAGTCTTAGTATTTATGTCCCTTGAGAACATTCAATGTCTGCTGTATTAGTAGGACAGCAAGATATATGTAATACTGATCTCGATTATTGATTCATTGGTGTTCTATGGTTATTTCAGTTGCCTATCACGTTCCCACTGGCTTGAACCACACTGGTGGTCCATGCATGACTGTCCCATTGGGCGACTTGTACCACTGGTGTACAAATGGATCTGATTACTTTTATCTGTCTTTTTACTAATAAAATTAATAAAAAGCCATCTGGTGAGGCAGTCATGCATATACCACTGGTGTTCAAGCTGCCTGACAGGCAGTAATAATGCGGCCCCATTGTGAGTGTGTTAAATATATTGTATATCTAAGCACTTAAAAAACATTTAAAAGGCTACTATTTTATATGATTTGGTGTTAGGAGGTAGAGAAACAGGAAGGTAAAGCAATACCACTAGGTTTCCAAAGACTTTTTTTAAAGTTCTAAATCAAACTTATGTTTTATACATGTATTCTATAACTCATTTAAAGACCTCTTGGGGAGATTTTAGGATAGTCAGTAAATTATAATTGAGACAGACATAAAATCTTAGCATATTGTTTTTTTAGGGTTTTATTATTATTATTATTTTTGGTACCAGGGATTGAACTCAGGACCTTGCACTTATGAGGCAGGTGGCAGAACCACTGAGCTAAATCCCTGCCCCTAAATTTTTTCTTTGGTACCGGAAATCGAAGTCGGGCCCCTGCGGTTGCAAGGCAGGTGGTGAAACCAACCACTAAGCTAAATCCCCAGCCCTCTTTCTAGGGTTTTATATGAATGACATGGTGATAAAATGATGTGATTCATACATTTTTTAATGATAGTCTATGACTGTGTTTTAAATTTGAAGTAGTTTCTTTTACCTTGAGTTAGAATATAATACATAAGGCTTTTCTTAAAAATAAGTTAGGGGCATGCTAGTTATAATTATATAGTTAAGGTTTACATAAGTAAAGGTTTGGTGCTACAATGCTTCAGTAGTGATGATATGTGAATAATCATGACTATATCTTGTCTAGCATGTATCTTAATTCCTTAGTTAAGAATCACATGGCTCTGGCTTTTACCCTTTCACCCTTTCTGTAACAAGAAAGTCTGCCCATGCATACATAGGAACAGTTAAAAATTGCTCAGTTGCTGGGGATCTAGCTCAATGGCACTGCTCCTGCCTCACAAACATAAGGTCCTAAGTTCTATTCCTGCTACCTAAAGAATAAAAGAGAAAAGATTGCTCCATTAAGGGGGGCACCTGTAAGCTGGGCACTGGGGAGGCTGAGGCAGGAGGGTTGAGAGTCCAAGACCCTCCTGGGCTCCATAGTGAGTTCAAGGTCAGTGTGGACTATGTAGCAAGACCTTGTCTCATTTAAAAAAAAAGGTATATTAAGATAATTTGCTAGGTCATATTCCTATACAAATAATTTCATAGTCAAGATACCTACAACCAAATTAAGGTTGAATTACGAGTTAAGCAGTGGCTGCAACAGTACCTATTTTTCTAACACTTAGTTTTTCTAAGTGCTTTTAGTCTGTTCTTAATGTTGGTCTTAGAGCATCCTTGATGGCCAAGTAGAATAAAGATTAGCCCAGGGAAATCTCCGGTATGTTTAACTGGCCGTGCGGACAGTTCATGGTACAGTTAGGACAGTTTCCTAACTCCAGACTTAACTGATTCTCCAGTCCTTCCCATTTTAAGGCAGCACTCACTACAGAAGTATCCTCAGTAAAGGCATAGTTATATTGAATACAATGTTTTCATTGTTACATAAAAGCTTTAGGCGGTATAACTCAAGTCTTATAAAAGAATAAGGCATAACATGTTCATGATAGGGCCATAATTCATACGGCTTGCTGCTGGGTAGCTTGAACCACCAGTGATACATATGTGACTGTCCCATGCATGACTACACTTTTACTACCAGTGGTACAAGCTGCCCAGGGGGACAGTCATACACGGACCACCAGTGTGGTTCAAGCTGGCAGGAATATGTTAAGCTAGGCACAGTAATCCCAGCTACTTTGGAGGCTAAAGCAAGAGGATCAGCATAGGCAAAAAAATATATTTATGAGGTTTACAATTAATTATTTAGAACATCATTGATTCTGTTTGAATTTTATGTACTGCTTACCCCAAGTTCTTCTTGGCCTTCAGGTGATGGATAACTTCTTAATACAAGTGACTGGAACAAAGCGTGTTACACTGTTCAGTCCTCGTGATGCCCAGTATTTATATTTGTCAGGTACGGTTTTATTGAAGGTTGTATTTCTAAAGTCAGTCTCTTTATTCACATTAAAGAACAATTTAGGACACATCTTCCTAATTAGGATGTATTGTATTCTCAACTGCTTATGTGTATACACACAGTGAGAAGCCATATGAAGAATGAGATTTCAGATTATCATAATTACATTCCATAGTTGTCAGTGGTCACAGTGAGAAGCCATATGAAGAATGAGATTTCAGATTATCATAATTACATTCCATAGTTGTCAGTGGTCACAGTGAAAGAGTGGGCAATTGAAAACTCCGTTTCCAAATGATTGAACAGAAAAGAATTAATGGTCAAATTTATATTCATGATTACTTTTTTAAAAGAATGCCAACTTTATCTAATCTGTATTACCTCTGTTTGGAACTTTTCAGGTTCTAAATCAGAAGTGCTAAATATCGATAGTCCAGACTTGACTAAATATCCACTGTTCTCCAAGGCAAGAAGGCATGAATGTTCCCTTGAAGCCGGTGATGTGTTATTCATTCCTGGTATGATTTCTAGACCTCAGTCGTGTGTTGTTTATGAAGTCTGTGTTGTGTTACTCATCTTTTAAGTGTGTTTCTTTAGTGCACACTGTGTTTGTTGTCCTGTACAAGATGATTCTTCTACACAGCTCTGTGTGTGTGTGTAAAGCATACGTAGGCAAGCTCTTAGAAAATTAACAGTCTTCTTTTTGGGAGCAGTCTCAGTACAGTCATGCACTACATTAACTGATTTAGTCCATGATAAACTGGGTATTCAGTGGAGGTCTCCTAAGATTGTAATGGAGCTGGGAACCCTGTCACCAGTAATGATGCAGCCATCAGAATGTAGGGGGCAGGGAACAAGTGCTGAGTGCATGGCGACAATGGTTACCCCTCCTGCCTGGCCAGCATAGGAAAGCATGGCACACAGTTCTATGTGGCACCTAATACTTGATAATGAACAACTGTTACTGGTTTCTCTGTTCATTTTTAATTTTTTTTGGTGGTACTGGGGATTGAATCCAGGGCCTTGTGCATGCTAGGCAAGTTCTCTTCCAGTGAGCCACATCCCAGCCCTTTTTGTGTTTTTATTTTGAGACAGGGCCTGACTGAGTTGCCCAGAATGACCTTGGGTTTGTGATCCTTCTGCCTCAGCCTCGCAAATAGCTGGGATTACAGGTGTGCACCTCTGTACTCGGCTATTCCTACTTTTAATTATTATTACTTAACAAAAACTCCTGTTACTCATCTGAAAAATGAGTAAAGTAGCCCTGGGAAGGTCCTTCGGGCATTTCCACATGAAGGCACTGTCACCCTGAGCCCTTTCTGTGCCAGGATGGAGATGAAGGCAGTGAGCGTGGCCGCCTGCCCCCGTGGGAGGCTAGGTGAGAGTGTTATGTTTGTGCCGTTGTTTTTTACAAAAAAAGTTTTAAAATTAGAAATTTTAAAATTTCAAAAATAGAAAAAGCTTAGAGAAGAATATAAATAAAATGATTTATACTGCTGTACAGTGTTTTTTTTCTGTACCGGGGATCGAACTTAGGACCTTGCACTTGCTGGGCAGGTGGCGCCACTGAGCTAAATCCCTGGCTGCTGTACAGTGTTTTAAGCTAAGTGTTACTGTAAAAGTCAGAAGGTTAAAAATTAAAAATTTAAAAGTTACAGTAAGCTAAGATAATTTATTGACATTTTTTATAAATTGAGTGCAGCCCGAGCATACAGTGAAGCCAACATTCGCCCGTGAGCAGTGTGCAGCTATGGGATACAGATGCTCCTCATTTAACAACCATGTTCTGTTCCTGCTACTGGGCTGTTAAGTGGATTGTTCGCTGAATGGGAAGTTGTATGTAGTATGTACATTCCAGTATTCAGAACAAAGAAATGGTCAAAGCAAACTCCAGCTTGATGACTTTGCTTTTATTTGCATAACTCTTCCATGCAGTACTGTCCATGAAACTATAGTACCGTACTGTACAGTCAGCAAAATTACAGTACTGTATAAACAAGGTGAACTGTACAAAAAAGACAGGTCGTAAGTCTGAGTGGTGTGTTGTAAATCTGAACAGCCATTGAACAAGTGGGTGGTTAAACAAGGAATGTCTGTACTGTATTATAAAGTATCATCAAGTGAGATATTTTCTATTTTGGGAAAAGATTATCCTTGGTGGTTTTTAAAAATCATTTTATTCCTAAAGTATTTAGATATTTTAGAATTTTTAACTTCAGCATTTACCAAGTAATGGTAAATATTTTTCAGAACCAAAACAGATTAGAGGTTGTAGTAAATATCAAAATATTACAGTCTCAACACTTGTGATGCCCAGGGATGTAGCTCAGTGGTGCAGTACTTGCCTGGCAAGCATGAGGCCCGGAGTTCGATTGCTGGTACCAAAACAAAACAAAACACCTGTGATGTCTTTCGTGTGCCTTTTTCTGTGTACAGAATTAGTGTCACATAATATTTTTATTCAGTAAATAGGCATTAGTTTGAATGTCTAAAATTTCAGTGTTTTTAAGCATGGTGATATAATTCACACCTGTAACACTTGTAAAGGGACATTCTGTTTGTGTACTTGATATCTCATATCTGTATTAATAGGTTAATAATCATCAATACTTCAGTGATAGAATCAAATTTATAATATCAGTAAGAAAAACATAGTTATGTAACTTGGGGCTAGATTATCAATTCTGAGAATAAGGAATATGTTCTTTTTAATCTCTGTATTCTTCAGGGGGGAAATCTGATACATTGACTGCAACCACTGTCTTAATATTAAAGACATTGCCAGTTTTTAAATTCATATTTAAATCTGTGGTTTTTGTATCTTCAGAACATGGTTAAGGACTATGCAATTTTCCCTTAATCTATACTTGATTTTTAAGAAAAAACCCAGAAATAATCTGCATATATTGTAGTTTGAAACAAAAGCAAAAGCCCCATCTTGGGATTTAAATTTAACAGAATAGTTAGCCTTTTCTTTCTCTTATACTAAATGACGGAAGAAGGGTTCCAAAAGAATAGTTAATACTGAAACCATGTCTGAAGACTACTTTTGCAAATCAAAATATTTTAATCTTTTGGTTTTTGAGTACTCTTAGAATGACTTCTAAAATTTAAACCTTCCTTTCTCCCTTTGACTAGATTAAACATTTCTGATGTGATTAGTACTCAATGTTTGTTATATTGTGGGGTCACTTTAGTATTCCTCTAGCACTTACATTTTGGAAATGCTTAGATTCCATTGAAAACAAACTAAAATTTCTAGTGCAAATAAAAATTAATTAGATATGTAATAGTTTATTCATCTCCACCACCAAAATATTTGTCATAGTTTTATATACTTATTGTAAGGAAGCTGAAAAAAATAGGACTATAATTGCATTAGAAATACAAAACTGAGGAAGCTATAATGAATGCAAATTGAAGCAAGTTAGAAAACCAACTTGGAGCTTGAACAGGAAGTCTTTGAGAACAAAAGTACTGTACTGAATCAGAAAAGGTCAAATATTCTCCTCAAACAATTGAAATGTTCTGTGTACAAAAAAAACCCATTTTTGATGTGGTTGTATGACTCAGGAAGTATAAAAACAAGTAACACAAAACACAGCCCCAAATTAGAGAACTACAAAACATATATAATTATTATATCTTTCAAGTTAAAAGGAAATATTGCTATTTCTAAAGGTTTTAGAAGTAGGGGTTATGCTCCTGACACTTTAAATTGGTTGGCAGTTCATTGAAGTTAAACGATTCTGTTAGAAGCTGGGAGTGTGCTAATGAAGGGCTCTGCTTACAAGGATGATTTCTTACATTGGCTACATGAAATTCGTGATACTTCCCTGACATTTTGGTGTTTTTTTAAAAAAAACAGTAGGTTTTATTTTTAACTTTTTAAAACTTTCTCCAGCTCTATGGTTCCACAATGTAATTTCTGAAGAGTTTGGAGTGGGAGTGAATATCTTTTGGAAGCACCTTCCATCTGAATGCTATGACAAAACAGATACCTATGGAAACAAAGATCCAACAGCAGCATCAAGAGCTGCGCAGATTCTCAACAGAGCCCTGAAAACGCTGGCTGAGTTGCCAGAGGAATACAGGGACTTCTATGCACGGCGAATGGTCTTACACATTCAGGACAAAGCCTACAGCAAGAACTTTGAGTAAATAAGGAAGTGAATCCAGTGAATATAAACCTTGTAATAAAATTTAATTCAAATATGGGAAGAGAATAACAGGATGTAAATTAATTTTTAAAAGATTGACGCTTTGTTAAAACCAGAACAATAAATCAATCTCAGATTTAAAGATTAAATAGGCATGCAGGTGGGTGTTTGTGTGGTTTCTGCTCGCTACAGATTAAGAATTAAAGAATGCTGTGCTGGGACCAGTTAGCCTTAAGATGCAAATAACAAAATTCAATTTAAAATGACTTATAAAATATATTGAATCACAGTCTACAAAGTCTGCTGGTAGAGTAGGCTTCAATGTTTTTCAATCCCATGGCTCAGTAACGTCACCAGGAACTTGGGGTTTTACCCATTTTCCCCCACAGCTTTGGCACATCCGAGGCCAGCTGCCCTCGTGGTCATGGATGGTGGCCAGTGGCAGTCGGGGCCTTGCACATCTTCATTTGCATGCAGCACAAGAGCCTGGCTGTGTCCCAGGGCCTTGGCTTGGTATGAGAACACTTTCCCAGGATTGCTACCAAATCTTCAGGGCCTGTTGCTCTCAGCGGGGAGACCTGCTAGCCCTGAGCTGGTCATTGGCAGAGGGTCTGAAATGCCCCTAGGCCAGTCAGGCCTCTGGGCACTGGGCACTACATGAGTAGAGTGGAGGGCAGAGTGGGTGAGTTTTAAAATCAGGGTTCTGACAGCAAAGGGAAAAAGGTGGGCAACTAAGAGTCTTGCCTTCCACTTGCCTGTAATCAGAATCTTTCGAGGCAGGTTTAAAGGACAATAGATGCCAGGTCCAGTCAGGTAGAACAAGCAGGTGCTCGTTTTGGTACAGGCATCTTAACAGACCTCCCAGATATGGGTGTGGTCAGGACTGAGAATCACTGCTTGGATGGTAGTGATTTGGATGATTAGTTTTGTGATTTGTCCAAAGCAAAGGTTTGCTCTGATCCTGATTTTTCTTGCCACCCAAGATGTCGCCTGCTCCTATTAGAAAATAAATCAATCGTAGTATATACCCATGTCTAAATTGTAGCCTAGTCGTCTCTACAAAATACTCTATTCCTTTTTAAAAGAAATATTTTCGTTTCTCTGGTATGAGAAACTAAAAGTGTAAACAAGGATTAAAATGATTAAAATGAATAACTGATATTGTGAAATAGGAAGAAAAGGTCCAAAGGGGTAGGGGTAGGGAAAAGGAAAGAAGGGAAAGGAAAAATTATGAGAAAAGGAAAAAATGGAAACAAAATCTTTGTAAATAGGGAGGGGTGGAAGGAGTGAAGGGAGGACAGGGAATGGGAAAAAGTAACCAAGATACATCACGTACAGGTACAAGCATCCAACGATGAATGTAAATGTATACCTAAAATGTACCAATAAGAGAATTTAAGCAAAAAAAAAAAATTTAGGTTTAAGAATGAGAAAAAGAACATATGAGACCCTAATGATGTTGTCTTGAAGACAGCCACTATGTCTATCTGTGCTACTCGTTTTACACCTACTTATTCCCTGAACACAAATGTGCGCATCCAAAGCAGTCTCTGTGTACATCCTCTTGGTGCATTGTAATCATGAAAGAAATCATATTCTCTACTGAAGAAAATCCATTCATTTATCAACAAAGGACAAGTATATTAATTCTTATTTTCCTAGGTATCTGGAGATACTGAAATCATTGAGATCAACAAAAGCAAAAAAATCTCAGAATAGGAATTGTCAATATATTAGCTGTATCTGATTATCAGGTTTTGATCTTTGGCTACTTAGGTTACAGCAAGAACTTCTTTAGTAATTCCTTTAGTTCAGGAAGGAAAGAAAATCTCTTTGTACAGTATTTAGTCAGCTTTTAATAAAATGTCCATTTTTTTCCCTAACCAGTAAAAGAATTGATGCAAGGTATAAATCCAGAGTCCTACAGAAATCTTGGACATAAAATAGTTTACTGAATGTTCATTTTAATTTAGTTTGGTTAGTGAGAAAGCAAACTGGGAGCTCTTAAGCAAGTTAACCAGTGAAGCTTGTTTTCCTCATCTTTAAGTGAAACACACCGCATAGGGTTGTTGCAAAAAAAGTCACCAGGGAACAGTGGAGGGCTGGTACATATTGGTAGCTAATGGCTGTGCTAGTTAATCCCATTTAATGTATTCTTTCTTTGCTGAAAGAGCCGAGATAGCTCCTCGTGCAGTATTAAAGTATTTAGAAAGCTACAGATGAATTCTTTGGGATATTTTAAAATTATTTCCCTGGTTGCAAATTTTAGTATCAGGGTCAATTTTTAAATCAAAATATTTTATCTTTTTTGCCATCTGGGTTAAGGCCAAATAAATTACACAATATGTTAGGTGCAACTTCTCAGGGATTCCAGATCTTTTATTGTTGGTAGTAATCTTAGAAGTTATCTCATTAGCCTGGATTGCAGGTACAGACAGTTGTGATAGAAACAGATCAGTTCTGGTGAACATGTTAGTAATTCTCATTCTTCCTACCCATGTGCAGCTCCTCTCTGACACCCCTGAAGAGACCAAACATAACTTTTCTTTGGCTAGAGTTTGGGAGCTTGACCCCATGCACAAAAGGATTCTTTTCTTTCCCAACAAAATTTCTCACTGCCCTGCTTGCTAGATACACAAAGATTCAAAATAAAACTAATGAACGAGTAGGTGGTAAGAGTATAACCCCCAAACTGAATAGTATATAGCCAAAGAGCACAGCAGAAGTGTATGTTATGGCATAAAGGAAATTAATTACGTGAGATTTGAAACTATGGCACTTTCTGTGTTAAAATAAGGCATAGCTAAACATTTCTTTACACAGGCATAGGATTTGCTGAGTGACACACAAGCCAGCGATAGCGGCTGCCTCTGTAAAGAGGCTGAATGACCAGGTGGGAAGACAGATCTGGAGTTTTATTTGAATTTTTGTTCATGTTCATGTCAGGTCTGCAGAGTCATAATTCACCTTTCATGAACAGTATCTGTCTTAGTACATGAGTACATTGGAATGCTGTTCAGCAATTTCAGACTTACTTTCATTAAACAAGGGTTACTTCGTAGTCTTTATCCTTTTGAAGCAGATTTGTGAACATTCAGAAATAACCTAGTGACAAAGCTGCTCTCACCTGTAAAGTCAGCAGACATTGAAGCTGAACCCAAGATGATGACCACAAAAAATTAAATGCAGGAAGTTAGAAGGCAGGCCTGGAGAGAACTGAGCTGTTGGTCCTTCCTTCAGTGCGAAGACATCATCTGGAGGACCTAACAGATTGGGTTGTCTTGCTTTGAGCATATGGACTGCTGGGTGCCTTTAATACACCTAAATTCTAGAATGGTCTTCCTGCTGTCACTACCACTAACTGGTGTAAGGGCTGATGCGGCCTCTCGGCCGTTAGGAAGAGCAGTGCGTTTCACTGTACCCCCAATGCATGTTTCTCAACTTTAAAGGCCTAGTCACTTTCTCCTTGCTGAGACACCATGCCCAACTCCTGCAACTCAAAGGGGTTTATTCTGGCTCAGTTACAGTCCATAGTTGGCTGGCGCCAGGCAGAAAAGGGCACAGACCTGGGCAGAGGAAAACTGCTCATATTGTGGCAGCCAGGAAGCAGAGAGCAACGATAAACTTCCAGGTCACTCCAGCGACCAGGCCCCACCTCCACCCAGCATATTTAAGCTGTTGGCTTCCAGATCCAGTGACATTTCAGTAGCCCTGCCTGCAAATGCATGAGGCTTTGGGGGCAGATATAGAGACAGACCTTAACAAGCCCCCGGCGAATTAGGCTGCAATGGCTTTCTTATGGATACCACACCTTGTTTCGCATGTACTCCTTTAGTCTATTACAGTTTCCATACTAATGTGCTGTCCCTGTATTGCCTAGACCAGTGACAGCGAAGTTTTTTGAGCTTTCAATGGCAACAAACAGCTGGCTGCAGCACGTGCACCACAGGTTTGCCACTACTGGCCTAGACCCTCCTGCCTTTGCTGGGTGTTCAGATATTGCATGAATGAAATAAAAAATAGATCACACGAGATTCTAACCAAGTTTCTTGAGGAGATAAAGGAATACAAATACCTGAAATGATTAGCAAAGAAAGTAACTTAAAGAGACTTTGTTCTCTAGGAAACCCAACAGAAGAAATGGATATAATGCACATTTTCAGAGTAATTTAAAGAGATGTGTTTTTATAGGAGAGATGTTTAAAGTTGTGCATATGAAAAGCATGGAAGGGCAGCCGGGTGTGGTGGCACACACATGTAATCCCAGCACTCGGGAGGCTGAGGCAGGAGGATCATTGAGTTCAAGCCCAGCCTGAAATACAGTGAGACCCTGTCTCAAAAACCAAAAAAGAAAAAGAAAAACATGGAAGTTAATGAAAATATGATAGAAAAACTGACAAGGTCAAGTACCTTTTCAATTATTGATCTGAAGCCTTAATAAAAAGCACATCCAAACACTTCTATAGGTTTTAATACAATTATACATTCATGCTGTGGCGGTAACAATTTTCACATTATTCTTACGACTTTTTTCAACTGACTTATGAAGGCACAATCTAAGAGGATGCACAACATTCACAATCACAGTTTAGAACAGACACAGAAAGGACTTATCTGAAGTAAACCCAAACCACTGGAATTTGGAGTGACTTGAATATATTTTCATTATGAAAATATTCCTCCCTTTAAACATTGTCTCATTTTGATGTGATGACAGTTCTACATACCCATGATTACTAATATCCATTCAACATATAACAGTTGTAATAAAGCATTCACATGACTGGATGGCTAAAGAACTCAACATTTTTAAATAGCTCAGATTTTAAAAAATGGATTCTGTTAAAAGTCCTCTAACTTCTCATTTCAGTTTACCCTACAAAAATAAAAGCCTTTCCCTAGACATCTGTCAACTGGGAGGTGTGTGGGGGTGCTAGGGATCTAACACAGGGCTTCACGCCCTCTAGGCAGGCGCTCTGCCCTTGAGCTACATCCTCAACTGAAGAAAACCATCCAATCATGCTTAAAGGCAAGGTTATCTGTAACATGTTAGAATCATGAAGACTTTGTTATGTGATGAGAATCTTTGGACTCAAAAGAAAAAGCAGGTATTTAAAGAAAATGGGTCAATATAAAACCACATTTTTGTAGTTTATAGAATTAAATGCTCATTCTTAAGCATCTGGTTAAAAAGCCCTTCTCATGTTTCTAAATACTTGGAATGAATTTATAGTTATTAAGATAAACCAAAAAATTAACATTTTTATTCTCTATTGTTTAGTAAATTTAGGTCCTCTGGGTCATTAAGACTCACGAGTCTTTTGTGTCTTATTTTTTTTTAGTCCTAAAGCAGCATGCTATTTCTCTGCTTATTTTACGACCTGCAAAAGCTAATTATTAATAAAGTATAAAAAAGAGATTCCTTTGATAATTACACAGCTATGTTTTGGGCTTGGCTGAAACTGGTTTCTCAAGTTGTATTTATCTAGGTCAACAAAACCAGGCAGAAGGAAACTTCACCCAAATCATGTAGCAGTGATAAGCAAATTCGATTTCTGAGCCAAAATTAAAATCATTTGTGCCTTCAAACTTTCCCTTGTAACTTTTCTTACAGCAATGTAATTTTGCATTTTAGCCAAACAGAGCTCTTTTCTTTTGGCAGACAAAATCATGCTGGAAAAACTGATTTAGATCCTTGGAATCTATCTCCTTTGCAATAGAGCATTAACAGAGCATTATATATTTATTTAACCTGAGTTGATTCTTTCTAAAACAGTGATACAATGAAAACTTGAAATGTGTTCTGTAATATATTTTTATCCAATATATATACTTTTACTTAACCAATTTTCAGGAACAACTGGATAAACAAAAACTCAAAAATTAAGCCACAATACTTAAATGTAAAATATTTTTAAAAACCAATTTTATACTATTACATGTTCTTGGGCATTTGGAAACAACATATTTTGATTCTCAAGGAAAAAGAAAACGAAAAACAGCTTGGTGGCACTCTAAGAATGAAACCAGGGCTGAGGGTATAGAATGCTGCTTGGTTGGCATGAGCATAACCCTGGGTACTAAACACGTGCACGCACACATGCGTATACACACACACACAAACACACACACAAATCCATGAGTTTATGAAACAAAAGGCAGGATATAGTTATTCCAAAATACTTGAAAACATCTGGGTACCTTTGAGAGAAATGAAGTGTTTCCATTCGTTTGGGGTGCCAAAACAGCTAATTATTATTATAATTCACCATTAGTTTAAACATAACTCCGAAACATAACTCATAAATCAACTATTTCCAACAATTTGTTACCTTTAAAAGGAATTATATTGTTAACTTTCATTTTTAAGGGTGTTGTATCTCTTCATAAAATTAACTGGTAATTCTAGCCCAATCCAAATTGCAAACTGCTCACATTCACAAGCAAGGATACTATTACACATTACACGCATAGTTTAGGAATGTGTATTTCCTCAGCCCCCAATCTGACACTGCATCTAGGAATTCCGTCATACACCTCATCTGAACTTGTAACAAGGTGCTTCTGCTCTTCCTCTGAACAAGTACATTAATACTCTTGTATTCTCAAAATACTTCGTGAACCCTGAAGTGATTCTCTATAGAAGGAGCTTCTTTTGCAAAATGAATCCGGCTTGTCACCTGCATACCAAAATCTTCAAGTAGCTGGACAAATTTCTTGTGCTCCTTTCCAATCCAAGATCTCATTGGGTCTTGGACTTGGTAAGGTGTTACATGAGTGTGAACAATAATACCCGTTTGTGCAAATTCTTTCAAGACTTCTGGATATGTAATCCACGTATTGCTTCCTCCAGAATGACCACCATCTAGCCAATACATTCTTCTTATGCTCTTAATGAAAGCATCTATGTTCTTGTCTTTCTTGGCTTCTTTCAATTCAAAAAGCAACTGATTCAAAACAACACATCCTTTACTAAATCCAATCAAGGTAAAAGATGCACCATTTAGTGATGGTGGATAAGAACCCATGGCAGACTCATCCGACTTCTCACAGGCCCTTTTCTTTTCTCCTTGGCAGCCACTGCTAGCAGAAGGAGAATTAGACTTACAGTTAGATGCTTTGGAGTCCTTATTCCAAACATTTCCATTCTCTGATAGCACACCATTCTGACTTAAGTTAAAAGCATTGACTAATAACGTATAAAGGTGCTTGAAAGCTCCGAAGTCAGTGTTGTGTTCTGGGGCACCAAACATGTTGCTTTTCACAAAGTTGTCATAGCAGCTGAACTTGTGCAAATGCATTCGAGAGCACTTTATCACCCAGATGTAACTATTGGGAAACCGCTGGGCTAGAATGGTGGCAACGTTTTCTAGACTCCAGTTTTCCCACTGATGATTCTCAGGATGATGAGTCATAACCTCATGGTAATTCTGGAAGATAAGAAAGACGAAGTCAGCTTTAATTACATAAACTCATTCCACAAAAGCTTCCCGTTTTTATTGTGAGGGATTTAAAAGGTTATAATGACCTATGGTTAATGTACTAGAAATGCAAACTATGAATCTGTCATTACTTGCTGGTTATAAGGTTTTTTCTTCCTTTTGTGGTACTGGGGATTGAACTCAGGGGAGTGCTGAGCAACATCCCCAGCCCCTTTTATTTTTTTGGTTTTTTGAGAGAGGTCTTCCTCTGCAATTCAAGCTGTCTTTGAGCTCCCTATGTAGCCCAGGCTGGCCTTGAACTCTGGCGATCCTCCTGCTTTGGCCTCCTGAGTGCTGGGATTACAGGCATGTGCTACCACGTCTTATTCCCCTTTTATTTTAATTTTGAGACAAGAGTCTTGCTAAGTTGCCCAGGTTGGCCTTAAACTTGCAGTCCTCCTGCCTCAGCCTGCCCAAAAGCTGGATCACAGGTGTGTGTCACCACACCTGACTGCTTGTAAGACGTTGAACAAAACACTTCTTCAGTGTAAGCTTCAAATCCAGTAAGAGGCAGGGTAATAAGATACACCTATATTAAATAGTAAGACCTTAAAATAAGTTGAGAAGGGCAATAGAAGTACAGTACTTCATAGATTTTATTTAGTATACACAATACAATTAAAAAGATAAACCTGGTTCATTACATGGACTTTTTGACCAAGGCAGAATTTTAAAACGTTTCCCCTCTAATGAGCTGCCACCCTGCACTACTACCTGGATTCCTCAAGCAACCTGAATGCCATCTGGTTCAATTTTTGTTGCTGTGAAAAACCTGCCATAACATTCATGGAAAAAAAATGTGTCCCCATCTGTGATTACATTCTTAAAAATAAATTCCTAGATATGGAAAAACTAGATAAAAATATTCCTAATTTAAGGTTGGTGATATGGGCTACAAAACTGGCTTCCACAAAGATACATATTTCTTTCTTTGTTAAATTTCATGGGCACAGGATAACTATTCAAATTTGAATTTATTGAAAATTAGAATCAAGCTGAAATTTTATTCATATATTTATTAACAATCTGAATTTCAATTCTTGCCTGTTCATATCCTTTGCCTTTTTGTATATGGATCTTACTGATTTATAAAGCAGTCTACATATATTAAGTTTATGCTGTATATATGCATCTTCTTTTACTTTTAATTTTTATTCATAACAGCTTTTTTTCATTCAAATCTATTCATTCTGTGAAATTCACTGGCCACTACTAACTGGGCAGGGAACAGAATGAATTAAGTCCTTGTCAGATGCAGCTCACACTCCAGTGCAGAAATAACCTCAGAGCAGATGGAGGCAGCACCAGCCAACAGAAATATGACAGGAACCACACAGAACATTTGCCAGTAGCCATTAAAAATGTAAAAAGTTAAGAAATTAATTTTAATAACATTTTATTGAGTCCAACATGTCAAATATTATCAACGAATCACCAATATAAAAGATTTCTGAGACCCAGATATGGTGGTGCACACCTGTAATCTCAGCTACTCGGAGGCTGAAGCAGGAGGATGGTAAACAAGGTCTGCTAATCATGGAGACCCTGCCTGAAACAAAAAGGAATGGGGATGATGCTAGGTGCTGCAGTGCTTGCCCGGCATGCCCAAGGCCCTAGATTCAATTCTAGCAAATCACAAGGACATGTGTGTGCATGTGTGTGTGCGTGTACACACACACACACACACACACTTACTAGGGGATTATTACATTCTTTTCCTTTTACTAAGTCTGAAAACTAGTGTGCATTTTGCCCTTCCAGCACATCCAAATTGGATGCTAAATTTTTATGGGAAATAACACAAATCTAAATTTTGATTTCATAAAATTTATGGTTGAAAGAGTAGATTCACATACTCAAGTTGTCCCAAATATACTTAGAAGTTTTCTAGGAACTGAATTATCACTTTTAAAATGTAAGTTAACTGAAACTCACTTGAAAAGCGTACTTCCTCAATTAGACTAAGGATATCATGTGGTTAACAGTCACAAGTGGCTAGTGGCTACCATACTCGGTGGGACGAGACAGGCAGCTCAGTGGTAAGTGCAATGGAAATAAAACAAGGGGAAAGGAGTATGAGGCTTTAGGCAGGATGGGCAATTAAAACAGAACAGTCAGAAAAAAAATAACAGAACAGTCAGGAGAGGCTTCTTCAATACAGGAGAATCCAGGGGGAACTGAGGGAGGGAGCCATGTGGCCAGCTGGGCAGGGCCACAGCTGCAAAAGCCCTCAGGTGGAAGCATGCAGGCACATGGGACAGAAGGCCAGGGAGGCTCCAGAGGCAAGAACAAATGTCACCACAAGGACCAAGGATGATGACAGCTTAGTGGGAAGGAGAGGAAGCTTTGGCTCTGGCTCTGAAAGGGTTTGGAGCAAAGGGCTGATTTAACTGCTATTCTGAAAGGTTTACTTTGGCTCCTACATGTGAAGGGGCAATAGCTGAAGCAGTGAGAGGCTACTGAAATTCCTCCACAAGTGTACACAGACTGTCGTTGGAATACAGATGCTGGGCAGTGGTCCATTCAAAGAATACTTGGATTAGAGTCACCAAGATTTGCTGGTGGGATGAATGGAGTGTGTGAGAAAGAAATACTGTCATTCGGCTGCCATTTGTGTTTAAAAAAACTGACCTATGCACAGAAGGTCTCTGGAAGGGTGTGTCTGTTTGTGTGTGTGTGCGTGCATAACAATGGTAGTAGCCTTGGGGAAAGGAAAGGGGAGACTGGAGAGAAGGAGGAGACCTACGTTTTAGTGTGTATAGCCTTATTGTTACCTGAATTTCGCGCAAATGCATATTTTTTCCTAAAAAATTAAAGAGATACATGTAATACTATAAAAATTCAGTCTATATACTATGGTTTAAAGTCTATATACTATATTGTCTATATACTATGGTTTGAAGACAGAAAAACCACCCATAAAGTTACTAATCAGAAATAATCATTTAAATGTTGGTATCTAACAGTCCCATTTTCTCTAGTTTACATATTTCACTATGTATACAGGAGAACATTATTTCCCTCCCTGAAAGCAACAAGCTTATATACACAGCCTGTGCTTAAAAATATGTTACAGGCATGATTCCATGTACAGAGCTGGGTCATAATTTTCAGGCATCAGTAAGACTGATACCAACTTACACTTCAACTGCAAGTATACAGGAGTGTTATCTTTCCACATTCTTATCTATTCTTCATGGTCAACAGCATTAATTTTTAAACAATTTTTGCTACCATGATAAAATGGTCTTACTTTTAATTTGCATGCTTTAATTCCTAATTAGGTTGAATATTTTTCTGTTTACTGGCAATTTGCATTTAATTCCGTTCATGTCCTCTGATCATTTTCCTACTGTACCTCATTAATATTAGTTTGCCATATATATTAAAAATATTTATTACAAGATCATCTGACCTTCCATGGATTTTGCTATTACCTTCTACATATAGAGATTTTCGATATACACAATTAACATAAAATCATGGGCACTTGAGGTAAGGGCTTACCTAAATTCCTTTTATAATTAAGGAACTCAAGGTCCTAGAAATTGTAATTATTTGTATTATAGTTATGTAATCAAAATGAACCTAGCTTTTATGTCTCCCAGTTCAGACTCTATAGGTGACATAAATCTATATGGTATTTCCCTTTATTAGCCCCAGGTGACAAGATTGGAATGGGAAAAATGCTAATACAAAGGAACTATGTGAACTAAAGTGAAAAAATGGGATTGTTACTGTTGTGTTAAAGCCTAGATCTGAGAACAGTAGGTAAGCACTTCCACATTCTGAAAAGAGGCACCAACATTCCCACGTGACTTGCTAAGAGGCAGTCAAAGTTGGTTCTGCAACCCAGGCTACTACCTGTGGCCAACCTATAAAGAAAGGGCTTATATATACTTATTTATTTATGCAAGAGGTTACCTACTGAATACCTATAACACATCAGTCACTAAACAAGCATCACAGACACACCAGTGAACAGTCAAACTTACATGCTAGTGTAGCAGACAGACAAGAGCCAAAATGAAAAGTAACCGATAAGGTAGATAAAATGATTAAGAATAAAGAAGAAAAGCTGATAGGGAAGCTGTGTACCTGTGTGATTATTAAATAGGATGATCAGGAAAGGACCCATTGAGAAGCACTTTGAAGCAGACCTGAAAGGATAATGAACATGGCCATACTCGCAGGAAGTGTTCTGGGCAGGACATGTGAAGCTTCTGAGTGAAGTGTGCATGATGTGTCTGAACAGCAAGAGGGCCAGCAATCTTCTGATTGCTGCAGATACAGAGGTGGAGCCACTGGACTTGTTGATGGATGTGAGGTATAAAAGAGAGCTCTAAAGGTAATCGAAACCACCACCTTGAAACAGATTGTCTCCTCTAACTAGGATGAGGAGACTGAGGAGGGTAAACATTCAGAGATGCTAGGTTTGAGGTATTTACCAAATACCCAAAAGGAAATAATTGTGCATACAGTCGGTGAGTCTAAAATTCGGGAATGTGTCTAGGCTAGATACACAAATGTCAAGGACTATCCAGAATATAGATAGTATGTAAAGCCATGAAAGAGTCTTTGCTGAACAAGTGAAAAAAAACAGGGAAGAACAGAATACTAGGGTACTCTCATAATTTTAAAAGTCCCCAGAGAGATGTAAGTGACCGGTATTCATCAGGTATTCACATGTATGATCTCTATCGGCTCCCTATAAAGTATTCTCATTTTATAGCTGAGGTAGGTGCAATACAGAGAGATTTAACAATTGAGACTTCATAGCTAAAAAGCCCAGAATCAGAATTCAAACTCAGGCAATCTATGACCGAGAAACTGGATTTTAAATTTAATGAATTTAAATAACCCCACGTAGCTGACGGCTAACATTTCAATAGTTTTAGACCAAAACTCGGGTTGCAGAAAGACATAACCATAGATATTTACCTACAGCTATACAATTAATAAGATATGCTATGCTGGATCTGTTTGCATGTGCCTGCAATCCTAGCTGTTTGGGAGGCTGAGGCAGGATGAGGCTGAGGCAAGTCTGGGGGCTTGCCTGGACAATTTAGCGAGACTGCCTCAAAAAACAAACAAAAAGCTGGAGTGAACTCAGCGCGAAGGCCCTGAGTTTAATTCCCAGTATTGCCCCCTCAGAAGTCTATAGCTATAAAATAAACGTACAACCGAAAACAAAGGCACAGACTAAGATAGGTGAGCATCACAATACTCAGCAGTTACTGGCCCTTGTTCTGCACCACCACCCACCTTATTCTGGGGTCACTACACGTAGGCGTCACGTCAGCAGTGGGTCTGTTTGTTTCTAAATCAGTCAGTGCTTCCTCAACAACGCGCGCCATGGTCAACTCCTCCAGAAAGCCCACACAGGGTCCTCCGCGAAGCGCGCTAGGAGGTGCACGCGGACGGCCTGTCCGGTGTCCGGTGTCGCCTGGCCGCGCGGCGCCCTCACCTGCACGTCGCCGGGGAAGTACAGCACGTGGTGCTGCTCGCCCGCCGGGTCCCCGGGGCGGCCCCGCGTCGGGGTCGTCAGCAGGAGCAGCTCGTTGCTGCGCTGCGGGTCGGCGCCGGGTACGGCGCACAGCTGCAGGTGGAGCCCCTCGGTCGCCCGCAAGCCGCGCGCCCCGACGCCGCCCGGGTCCATGGCTCCCGCCTGCGGGCGGCGCGCGGCGTCTCCGATGGCGAGCGGCGGAGGCCGGAGCAGCGGTGGCGGGGCGCGGAGGAGCCTGAAGCCCCACATGGGCCCCTCGCCGGCGGGCTGCCCTGTGCGCACAGTCGGAGCAACGCCCAACGGCCCAACGGCCAGCCAGAGCCGCTGGGCGGAACAACGGGGGCGTCAGTGTGACGTCCGCGCGCAGCGTGCGTCAGGAGGGCGGGTTTCCGGAGGAGGTGCGGGCGGGGAGGGAGGGGCCTGAGAATAGACGCTTGTGAGTGGTGGGCCCGGCCGTGGCCGGGAAGTTCGATCGGAAGTCTGGGACAAGCCAGGGAACACGCAAAGGCCGGGGAAAGAACTCAGGACGCGTGCGCGTCAGGTGTGACGCATGCGCAGCGCACCCCAGACCCCGGCCGGCCGCTGTCCAACCATCCCCCTTAGTACGAATAGGTTGGAGCACTGAGACTTCCGGTTCCGCAAGGCTCACCTTTCAGGTGAGGTTTATCTCGGCTCCAGATCACTGAGAGGGAGACCGTCTCAAAGAGTAATTGTATCCTGCGTAGCACAAAAGTCACCGTGTTCTGGGAGGAGGGAGGCGCCGCTCCTTCCTCCAGGTCCCCAGGTGAGTGCTGTAGCGCCTGGGTTGGTGCTGGGGAGGAAGAAACACCTTTGCTGTGGTGGTGTTTGCTACCATGGTGGTGTGGGGTGTATGGTTTTCAAAAGCTAATTTGAACAACGTAGGGAAGTCCTAGGTGACCAGTAACTAGGATTGGCAAAATACATGCTAAACAGGGAAAGAAGGAACCATCCATTGGTCTAATTATAGGTGCTTGTGAAGCAGGCACAGTAAAGGACCTTAGGCGAGAGAATGTGAGTGAGAATTATAAAAATTAAAGGTCAGAATTATTAAAGGTAGTTATTAAATTATTAAAGGTATAATTATTAAAATTATTAAAGGTATAATTAATTAAAGGTAAAAATTATTGAGGTTTACTGAGAGCCCAGAGGCTTAAGCGTTTTATGTATAACTGTTATGAGTCAATGCATTTGTGTATATAAACACACGTCTTATTTTTTTTTGTTTCATATATGCAAAACATTCCTTGGAGTAGGAGCACAAATAAGCAAATAATAAAATATAATATCCATATGTATTTTCTTAATGGCTTCATAGAGGTATAATATGTCTGTCTCTTGTGATCTTAATTACTGGATTCCATCTGACATTATAATAGTGTTACCAGTAAAAATTTTGTAGTTGCTAAGTCCGTCTGCTTTCTTTTTTTTCACTACAACACAGAAAAATCTTTTGTTTGCTAGGCAATAGTGATGGGTGGTAGCCCTTATCTCACAATACTGTCTGCAGCAAAGTTTTCAGGTAGAAAGTTATTTTGTGGCTAGCTTCTTTTCAGGTGTACCTCACAGCCTCTTTAACTGCAGTGTTATGAAAGCCCAAGTGTGCACAGGGCACGTGGTTCTGCTTGATATAACTGTTACACATGTGTGTGAGAGGAATGTATGCAGCTTTCCTCTCTGCCCTATACTATTTCAGATTTGTCTCACTATAACTCTGGTACTTCTAGACTCCTGGGAAGTTTAGAGTTCATCAAGTTTATAAAGTTTAGTCAGGTTTATAATGTTAGAGTATTTTCTGGAAATACTCCTCAAGTGGAGTTGCACCTTTGCCTTTGGGGTTTTCTAAAGGGCTTGAGAACCTCTAAAATATAAAAACCTAAAGACAAAACTACTTTTCCTCCCGACCAAAACTTGTTATTGTCGTAAACTATTGGTTTTCTTTATTTAAATACCAAGAAAATGCAGGGATTATTTTAGTACAACCCAGAGGTTGTAATAGTAAAAATTACCTTCTTGTTATAAACAATTATATTAAGATCTCTGATATCTTTTCTCCAGATTGTGCCCCATCCTCTGAAGCAGACACCTCCAGTAGTAGGAGTGACTTCCCTCTCCAGAGAAACTTTCCCTCCAGTAGTTGAAGAGCCTCCCAAAGTCTGTGTATAAAAACAGTAGCCCTGGGGCTTGTTGGTTTTATAGACCAGTTAAAAAGAAAGGAAAGAGCTTTGTAGGATTGCCAACTCAAACAACTGTTATCAGTGTCCTTTTGTGGGAGGAAAGGACACTATGACTCCCAACCCCTGCCAAAGTAGGAAAGACACAATCTCAAAGTAAAGGATGATTCTTTTTTTTAATATATTATTTTTATTTGTACATGTTTGTTTTACGTAATGATCATATTCCTTGTAGGGAATTGGTACATGTACATAACACGCCTTAATTTTTAAAAAATCTCTCTCCCCTCCCTCTAGCTCTTGCAGATCTGTTTTCTAAAAATACTTTGTTAAAAAGAAGTAGACGTCAGTTGTGCAATAATGAGTATATAACCACCTTAAGAGGACCAGTCTTGTTTTGCAAATCGCACCCATTACTCCCCTTCACTAAAATGTAACCTGAAAGCCTAAGTATGTACATATATTGCTAATGCAGCTTTGATGTTTTTGTGGTCTGGCTTTTTGTTTGTCTTTTTAATGAAATCTCTATGTTTTCAAGGTGCTGGGAGAATTCTTGTGTTTAGAAGGAAAATTGTAGCAAATATTAAACACCACAAAATTTTCTTAATATCTCTAAAATATTTGAGGCTTTTGAGAAATACAAGTAAATAATTAAAGGACAGAACAAAGAAACAGACTGGAATATGTAGACCTTTTTTTTCTCACATCATAACCCAACAAGAGACAAAACCCAGAGAATTAACAGTTTTCTCTGGATTCATCATTTGAGGATGTATGTTATTTATGGTAAGTAATTGACACTGCATTTCCTTATCAGATGTTTCCTTGATATTGCTTTATACCTATTTTATTTTATTTTGGGGGGCAATCTCCTCTGTTTTTCTGTTTTTCTGCATGCATAGGTCAAATAAAACCTGTGGGCTACAAATGTACAACTTCTCTGTTAAAACATGGAAATAAATAGATAATGGCAAATGGCGAGACAGAGAAAAGGCAAAACAAAAGCCCTTAAACGTGGTCTCCTATGAAAGATTGAGAGGGAAAAGAAGGCAGGAGGGGCTAAGTTTTTCCATGGGACTTTAATTAGATCTCGTTTGCATTTGATGTTCTTTGAGAGATTTGAAGTAGTTTAATTCTTTTCAATTATTCTTGGTTCTGAACAGGTATTTTTTGTTTTTAATAAGCCTTTGTGCTAATGTTGGACCTTAGAGGAACACATTTCAAATGAGGTTTGCACTTTAGCATATAATTGTATTCCCAGCATGGTAGATAAAATAAAGTCATTTGAAGATTTGAAGGCTTCTTTTTTGGTTTAATTTCACTAGCTAGAGAACACTCTTTACAGTGTTTCTATACTACATGATTTAAACACATCAGCAAAATATAAAATAAAATGCTTTGGCAAAATAACAATATAGCTTCATGTCAAGGCCTTATAGATTATCTTTAGCACTCAGTGAATCTGCAAATGCAATAGTTAGCTAATAGTAATTACATTCATTGTACTTTACTCACTGTTAAAACAGGAAAAATAGAATTGAACAGACAGTCCAAGTTTTAAATAGGCAAAGAATCTGAATAGACACAGAAGATATACAGTTGGACAATAAGCCCATGAGAAGTTGCTTAACATCATTAGCCATTAGGGAAATGCGAATCAAAACCACAAATACCACTTCATATCCACTAGGATGGCTATAGTAAAAAAAATAAATTAAAGTTAATAACAATTGTCGAGAGTAAGGTGGAGAAATTGGAGCCCTAGCAACTTGCTGGTAGGGAATAACTGTTTTAGAGAACAGTTGGATAATTTTTAAAAACAAAATTAAACACAGATTTACCATATAACAGTAATTTCACTCCTAGGTGTATGTTTAAGAGAAATGAAAACATCCATACAGCAACTGTTCACAAATGTTCATAGGAATATTATTTGTGTTATCCCAAAAATGGAAACAAACCATTAACTGATGAGTGGATAAGTAAAATATGTTATAATCATACAATATAAAACAGGACCCTTGGACTGACGAACTCAGTTAATTCTCAGAGTCTGGTTGTAACTCAAGTTGGTTGTAAGTCAAGAATATTTTTCCCATAAGAAATAATAGAAAAGGGCTGGGGATTTAGCTCAGTGGTTCCAGCGCCTGCCTCTCAAGCGCAAGGTTCTGAGTTCAATCCCCAGTACCAAAAAAAAAAAGAAATAATAGAAATACCCATATTGCATTCCGAACCTCCCAAAGCATCCCTTAACTAATCTTTTCATAATAAAAAAGGGTTGTATAATATGTTTAATTTACCAGAAATGTCAATAATTTTCCTAATGTATTCACCAAAAAGTTATAAAATGTACCTAGTTGCCAGAAATAACAATTTCATACTGTACTCACCATGCAAGTTGACATCTTTGGCCTGCAGGAAGGAAGCATGAAATGAAAGGTAGTTATTGTTTGGAAGGAGAGTCTTCTATAAGAACATCAGGAATCTAGGTCTCTGGTGTCCTTTCTGTCCTTGGGAGAGTCTGTAGCCCACTAGGATCTGCTTCTGGCTCATTAGGTCTCAACTTTTTCAGAACTAAAAACTGGTCTAAGGTTGTCTTTTTTTTGGTGTTTAATATAACAATTGGCTTTTTCTAAGTCTGGGTAGGTCTTCTCTACAAATGTTTGTAGCTCTGTTCATTTTTTCCGGATTTCCTTTATTTCAGAAAAAAACTGCTGCATTGATTGTTGATACTCGCTCCTCCTCTTTAGAAAGCTCCTCAGCTGGCATTCCCTATTGCTCAGCCAGAAATTGCTGAAGTTCTGTAGACAGTTCTTCTGATTGTCCCTCCACTATTTTTTCAAAATCACCACTGTCTTACCTGTAAGCCTATGGACTCTGCAATATGACAGTGTCATCAACCACAGGGTCAGTTGAAGGCTCAGGCTCCTCTACACGGTCTTCAAAGTCTCTCCTGTATAATTTTAGGCCACACTTTTTTCTAGCACATGTCAGTGTCCTTAGACATTGGCCCAGGTTTTCTCAGTTAACCCCACATGGGAGAGGATATTGTGATGTTCTTTTCAGAACTCTCTTAAGGGTTAAATCTGTACCTGAGACCATCTGGAAGCACTTTAGGCACAGTTCCTTGGTATATAGCTTCTTAAAATTAGTTATAATCTGCTGGCCCATAAGCTACTATAGAGAAGTTGTATTAGGTGGGAGGAACTCTACTGAGCCATGGGAATTCTTCATCCAACTTTTCCAAATCTCATGGGTGAGCAAGAGCATTGTCCATGATGAGGAGAGCCTTGAGTGGTAATCCTTTGTTTTCTAAGTATTTCTCTTTGTTTTCTAAGTCTTTCTTAATAGTAGGACAGAAAACCTCCCTGATCCACTCAAGAATGAGTACTCTTGCTACCCAGTTTTTGTGTTAGATCTTCAAAAGACCCCCTACTCTATTGTTCATGACTTTGTTTTCTGAACACTCTAGGAGTCTCAGTGTGATAAACCAAGAGAGGCTTTATCTTGAGTTCAAAACTTGCATTGGCACATAGCAATAAGGTTAGCCTATCCTTCACAGGCTTGTGGCTTGACATTTTCTTCTCTTCCT